ATCACCAATTACCTGAAGAGCACTTAATCGTTAGCAGCTTAAGCTTTTGGCTGTACACTGTGTTCTTTATTTATCGATTTATGTTTTAAATTAATTTCACGTGTTTCTTTAAACAAACACCGAACAAATTAAGGAGGTTTCCTTAGCGATCACGCCGTCTAACACTAACGTAAAAACAAGCACGTGTTTTGGGGAGAGCCATCTTATAGGCGTGAAACACTCCTTCACTCTACTCTTCCGACTGAGGATTAGTGCATCATTAAAATAATGTAGGCGACAATTAACTCATGAATCGGAAAGAGGCTAGTGTCAAAGTTTCCCTCAAGTGTTTAATTATTGATCATAGCCTACGAAGGGTAAAAAAATAGACGGCATACCGTTCCTTATGGGATGTATGGTATGATTCCATTTTATTTGCTTTAAAACTGGTCGAAATTAGACTGATGAAGTTATGACCTAAACGGAGGCTTGAATATAGTGAATCCCCATGATCAATCAATCGCCAATTACTTGAAGAGCACTCAATCATGAGCAGCTTAAGCTTTTGGCTGTACACTGTGTTCTTTATTTATCGACTTATGTTTAAATTAATTTCACGTGTTTCTTTAAACAAGCACCGAACAAATCAAGGAGGCTTCCTTAGCGATCACGCCATCTTATAGGCGTGAAACACTCCTCCACTCTACTCTTCCGATTGAGGATTTGTGCATCATTAAAATGATGTAGGCGACAATTAACTCATGAATCGGAAAGAGGCTAGTGTTAAAGTTTCCTTCAAGTGTTTAATCGTTGATCATAGCAACTGAAACTTGACAATTTTCATAACCACATTCCCTCCAAATATCATCAACGATGAAAAAGGGCTATCAACTGTGAAAACTTCCACTGATCAAAGGTAATAAACTGTTCACAACACAAAACGCTATTTCTTCTAAAAAAAAGTATCGTAACTAACACATTTTACTGAATATCCCCTATCGTTAAAAAAGGCAGAATGTCATAAGATACGTTGAAAATCCCCAGGGTTGGCTGCCGAGTATTAAAATCAACTTTCAAAAATAAATGCTAAAAAAATTGAAAGACAAAAACATTGCTTGCAGCAGTTTCAAGAATAGAAATAAAGTAAGCGTTGTTTGATCGCTCATTAGTGCGCCTTAAAGCATTTGCAATTTTGAGCTAAGAAACTTTGAGATCAAGCTCCGTTGGGGTAGGGAAAGGGTACTCCCTCATATAAGGTATAAGCTATGACGATATGTGTCGCCTCAAAGGTAATAGTTTGAAGGTCATTATGGCCTTAAATTTTGTTTGGTTTCCAAAGGAACCGAGAGAGCGTAATAAATGTATTTGCCTTTTTAACTTCAAGTAATAACAGAGAACGAAAAGTAACCAAAAACAGAAAATTTGAGTTGAATTTTCCAGAGATTTTAGAGGCCAGGGTCTGCACATGAAAGGGGAAAATGGTATAACATATGTTGGTCTGACATAGGGAATTTGAGGATCAAGCTACAAAACCCTATGAAAAAACAGCTCTATTGACCCTACAAGTAATTCCATAGAACAGAATTCATACTCCGTCTTACAACCGTTGCATAAACTCTGGCTTTCAGTACGAATGTGCGAGGGTTATTAGGTAGTCAATTTGCCTACAGATACTATCTTTAACATAAATAATCCTGTTTTCTCTAGTGCGGACTTTAACGACTCGGAGACAAGTTCCTTCAAAGCTACGGTGACGTATGATGGTAATGTCACGTGGGTCGTTCCCATTTTAACAATGAGCTCTTGCAAAATAAACGTGCTAAATTTTCCGTTGGACGAACAGGTAGGTGACGTGATGGCATCTTTCATTTATCCCATTCTCGAGTACAATAATAAATTACCATGACGGCATCACTTATTTCAAACTAATATTGGATTTAGCGGAGCTGTTTCGTCCTTTTTTAATTACACAACAGAGTTGTACAGGTTTCAAAACTGACGTGTTTCTTTTTTCGTAGTTGTGTAAATTGACATTCGGATCTTGGAACTATGACATCACTAAGCTCAACATTCACCCGGGTAGTGACATCATATTCACACAGCATTACCTTCCCAATGGAGAATGGCAACTGATCAGCACTCGCTCAGAACGAAGCCTTATGTCACACTTATGCTGCAAGACTATGGTGTCAGGAGTTTCGTATGTTTTACACATCAGACGGCTATCTCCGTTTTATGTCATAAATTTCATCGTGCCTTGCGCGCTTATTTCAGTGTTGACACTCCTCGTGTTTCTAATGCCTGAAGGTCAGTAACTTGTACTCACTTCCTTTCAACTGATGTTAGAGTACCTGCCAATTGTGTGCTCCTAGCAGTGAAGTTAGGGAGTCAATTGATGGGTTAGCTAGTCAGCCAGTTGGTTAGTCAGTCAGACGATAAGCCAGCGAATGAAGGATTGAGTGAGACAGTCGTCGGCCAGAAAGTCAGTTAATGGGTCAGTCTGTCTGTCATTGAGTCAGTCAGTAAGTCAGTCCGTTGATCAGTCAGTCACCCAGTCAGTTAGTAGTGTCTGTCATTCAACTGATCAGTCAGCCTGTCACTTAGTCTCGCTGTCATTCAGTTGGTCAGCAACTCTATTAGCCAGACTGTCTGTCTCTCTCTGTGCGTCTGTTTTTGTCAATGGTTGTCTTTGAATAACCAACCAATCAGGTAATGTGTTGATTGGTTTGTCAGATGGTTTCTCAGTCCATGCATCGATTAAATACGTAGACATGAAACTGTTGCGGTCTACTTCCTAAATCATTTAATTAATGCTGGCTGTTTCTCTGACTGTCAGTCAATAATTCAGTCCAGTCAGATATCGTCACTTGTCATCAACCACTGACTGTATGCATTCCCTTATATCAGCTTCCTCGCTTATATGAGCGAATCAGCCATCAATCTCATTCATATCTAATATTCTGTCTTGGTAAACTGATTTTCAGACACCGGCGAGCGGATGGCAGTAGGAGTTACAATACTTCTCTCGCTGGCAGTATTTTTCTTAATGGTGGAGGAGAAGTTGCCAGTTTCGGAGAACCTTCCATTGATTGGTAAATACTACTGCGGTACAATTATCGAAGTTGCGCTGGCCCTTGTTGCCATGTGTTATGTGTTGCGGTTTGTTCATCACCAGGCCCACGCATTGCCAAGCTGGATAAAGGTGAGCAGGACTTAGAGTAACCAATTGTCTTGTAATTCTCAAGCTCAACGTATGTTTACGCTCTTGCTACCGTTTGGAGTTAACCAACGACTTCGAAGTTTACGATAAGTAACTGCACGAGATATCCTTTCAGGTCACCATTGAGGACAAAAATAACACGAAATGCATTGAAATGAATTTATTTTTCTTTTGTTTTGTTGTCTTTTATTTTGTTTGCTGCTCTTTTTTTTTTCAGAAATATATTTTAGGATATCTGGCGCGAATCGTATTCTACAAAACCGAACAAGTAAAAGCTGAGCAAGAGCAGACACCACACATTAAACCACAAAAAGACCAGAAGGATTCGCGAGCACCCCGCGGGAGTGAAGAAAGCGAGAAGGCAGTGCGAACAACAGTAAATAAATGGAGAAAACGTAAGATCATAGAACGTTTTTTCAAAATTTAACCCTGTCACTCCCAAAGATGTCAGTAATTCTCCTTACTGTCTGCCATACTATTCTTATGATGTTAGTTCGGAGAATTTGGTACTGCATAAACTAATTATCCCCTTTATCTTTATCTTCATTGTTATCACTTGTCTGCCTGATATTTTAATGATAATTTTAAGGAGAAATTCTGTCTTAGTCACTCATGGGAATTGAAGGATTTAAGTTTCTTGTGGCAGACCAGAACTTTCGGCAGCCATTAGACAGCTGAAATTTTCATGATGACAAGTAAGAGTTACTGTCCAAAGAACTAAGAACAGCCAGCTCTGTTAAGATAAGCCTATGAGAGGCTTAATTAGGCAAGGGATTACCCATAAGCACAGTTATCTTTGGGCGAAATTATAATCATAGTAAAACTAACTCACAATTTAAAGGAAGGGAGAAAAAAACTGAAACAAAAAGTGAAAGAGACGAAAAGAATGAAGACTCAGAAAGAGAAGGAATAGAAGGGAATGGGAGGGCAGAAATGTAAGAGAACGATAGACAGGAAATATAAATGAAGTACTAGAATATCTGTACTTGGTACAAAAAAGACAACAGCATACTACATGGGAAATTGAGACAATTTAAAGGAAGAGATGAAAAAAAAAACTGAGAATAAAAAGTAAAAGAAATTAAGGTAATGGAAGACCCATATGGAGTAAGAAAAGAAGGGAATTGGATGGTAGGATATGGGAGAAAAATTGGATAAACAAGAAGGAATAGGACAATCGTATCCAACATGGGAAATTGAGAACATTACGTATCCCAGAGATAGAATAACTAATATTGGTTTTCTTATCGTTCTATTCTCTAAACAGCCTTACATGAAAAGAAGCCTGAGCTCCCTGCTGCCGAGTCCCGCGCGGTCAAAATCCTGGCTGACAGTGTGAAAGAGCAAGACAAGAAAGATGAACTACAAGATCAGTGGGTCCTGGCGGCCAATGTGCTCAACAGATTCTTTATCTGCTTGTTTCTTGCCTCTGTTGTCATAACTCTTATTGCTGTATTTGCAGTGGATACACGATTTGAAAACTAAGCCATAAGTATTCGCTAGATGTGTTTGAAGCAGCAGTGTCTTAAGTAACCAAAAAAAAAAACACCTTTTTCAGCGCAATTTTTCACTTCCCTTTGAACGGAGGTGATTACTCCTTAAAAACGATGGAGGTTTCTAATAAATAATTTTGAGAGGGATACCACTCATGTTAAAAACAATAATGTTACCACTTTCTTAACAAAAGGAAACCAGGTTTTAGTTTCATAAGTTTTTTCAAAAAAACGATCAACAAAGCAACAGATGTAATTATGAAGTAAAGTTATCCATAGATAAAAGGTATTGAAATTAGACTTCAAAATTTACTCGAAGTTATAACAGGTAATATTTATTACCCTTATTTTGTTTTTCCCTCCATACTCTATTCTCTGTGAGAAACAATTCTTACATGTTTTGATTTGAACCCAATACCCCTAACATCAGTATGTATATTCTCCCTACTGTTCCCTGTAGATTTCCCAAGGTGCTGACAAGGAGAATTGGTTTAACAATCAAGAGCTACCTCGGATTGTGATCATTTCTTTTATTCTCATCACCTTTATGTGTGATTCAGGAGTGATATTGTAAGGAGAAATTAGATGCTGGTCACTCTTAGGAGTGACTCGGTCAAGGTGCTCTCTGAACCATGGAAACACTGACATGTAATTTGTAACATTGAAAACAAAATTCTGCCATTGTCTGCAGACCCTGTAATAAATAAACTAATGTGCAAACTATTAAAGCACAATGATAAATATGGACAAATTTATGATTCTAAAATATGTCTACGACATTGGGTTCCTTTTCGTGTTTGCATTTGAACAATGTGACTGTTTTATTTGTTCTAACTTTGTGGAAAGTAACTCGTGTCAATTGCGTTCGCTATAGGCCGAATAAAACCTTGATGAAACCTTGACAGGAATGCAGTTTTTGCTTTTAAAGGTTCAGTCATTTGTAATATTACAAGTGGATTTGGGTGTGTTAAAGTCCTGCAACATAATTCGCTACAAAAAGGTAATTTAAATTTTAAAAATTATTCTAGAAGTCTTCATTTAGCTTTCCTTCCATTTAGTTATGAGTTAATCAAAGCCACGTGTCGTATCTAAAAGAAATCGAAACAAAAATACTTTTTTGAGACTTAGGGGTTTTACTGAATGGATCGCAATAGTTTCAGTGGGCGATTACACAGACGTATCGCATCAAGCGAGTAACGTGACTCAATAGCGTCACTCACGAAAAGAAAAATTCAAGGACATTTTAAGCGAAATAAATTTACGATAAAGCCATGACTCAAAAATTGAATTTTTGAACTGATTCAGAAAAGAATTCAGAGATGAGTAAGTAACAAAACAAAAACAAAAACAAAAAAACAAATGCACTTGAAAAGAATAAGAAATCATTGACAAGGAAGAGCAAAATTATTTTTCTATGACAACAAAAAATGTTCACATGGTTCTACGAAATTTGTTTACTTGGAGACGTCATATGTTTACGACTAATCTAGAAATAACATTCACACCTCTTCCCTATCCACCCCCTTCTCATCCCTTCACAACAGATAATGCTACATAAACAGAATGGGGATAAATCTTTCAACCCTGAGACCATAATGCGGGGTGGAGTTGATGGTTCTGCGGTCTCCTTTCCACACGAAAAACCAGCTCGAGCTTGATGCATAAAACGTGTTTTCGCATTCTTTAGTAATACGTATTGAATAAACAAGTTCTGGCTTAGGAATTAGCATTTTAATCAAAACTACTTACACTTCTGCTCCTGTGACTGGATCTCGTTTTCTAACCACGCTACCAATTCTGAGGACTGGCCGCCGGTTTCCTCTCTTCAAAGATATGGCCACCACGAGGTCGATATTTTCCTGGTGAGAACAATCAATCAAATTATTCAAGTTTACTACAATTTTCAATATCTGTACCTACTTTCATGTAGCAGCAGCTGTAGGAGGTTAAGTCACCACCAACTATTAGAAAAAACTCACCGAATTCCTGTTCATAGCCTTGTTCAGTTCCTCGAGCGCTTCCTGCACAGTGACACCCAAAAGACTTGTGCCTTCCACATTTAGCAATTGATCTCCCGCGCATACTCCACCTGAGGTTGAAAAGAGGTAGACAAATGAATATGAAGTACAGTTGGTTTAAATATTGTTTCTGTTTTCATCGGACTATTCCAACCAAATCACTAATAAGCAGTCCTTAAAGGATTATGAGTGATTTGGAGAAAAGAAAAAAAAAACAACAACAACAACAACAACAAATATTGTGATGTTGGGAAGATTTGAAAATCTTGAAACTATAAGTTGCCCCTCTCAAATTCAGTTCATAAAACACCTGGATTTCCAGTAACCTTTGTCCGACGATCGAGCATAATTGTAGTGCTGTACATGTATGCTGCTTTCGAAGAGGTTAATTCTGGCAGTGTGCATGTCAAACCTACGCATATGACCATTTCAATTTTTTATGGTTTAGCTCAACACCAGCCTCTTGTCAACTCGGTGGTTAACCATCTGAGGGGAACTGGGAAGATCATGGGTGGCCTCTCATCGTATAATCCCCTTATCCCGCGTTTGCGACGAGTGAACCTCTAGTGTTATATCATGGTAGCTACATTTTTGCCCGTCACCTTAGTGATACCACAAGCTTTTCTTAAGACACAAAAAGATGCCTCGCATCTCATCATCCCAACCATAGGAGGCAAAATCATGGTATATTGTAAATAAACCAAACCTACCATGCACTGCCACGCAACCATGTTCCTGAACTTCTGTAACGAATATTCCACCATCACGCTCCTCCAGCTCTAGACCCAATTCAGACACCTGAACAATCCATACCAAAAAGAAGAAAAGAAAGAAATGGAGGTGTATCGTCATTTGGAACCCGACTGCCTCCATAAACGTGTAGTTGCATCAGTAAATCACTGTAACCCCACTCTCGATATCTCTTTTTTTGCGCGCGCGCAACGCAATCGCAATGGACGAGTCCCACGAGTGAGGAGGAGCTCGTAGCAGGCGGGAAGAAGGAGTTCCGCAAGAAAGGAGGAGCGCTAACTATTACTCAAATATCATTTGTTTTGGAAGACCCAATACACAAAGTGCAACTTTCGAGCAATAAGTCAGGATCTCTGTTGAGACTTAAGTTTAAAAAATATTGTAAGAAGGAACAAAGCCATGTGCACGCATAAACTTTCTCTCTAACAACCAATTAATATAATGGCTTACCTTTTCAATCGACAGAAAGTGTGCTTCTCTTCCCTCCAACACATCATCTTCAAACTAGTGAAAGCAGAAAATCACAAAACAATCATTTAGATCTGCCAGTTGCAGTATTCTTTTCCAAAACCCAGATCTGTGCTATAAGGTCAATTCAAAGAATGACTCGTATAGATGTTAAAACTTATCTCGAGCTGGGGATCAGATTGCAACTCATCCGCAGTGAGATGCTGGTTCACAAAACATATAACACGCAAAATTCTCACTCAACTCAACTCAACTCAATCTACAATTAACTACAAAACAGAGGGAACGGTTGGACCAACCCCTCCCTTATTTCGATAATGGCAAATGGCGCGTTCTGCACTCCACGCTGCGGCTTCGTCAGTGATTTAGGGCCGGGTGGGAGAGAGGTGTTAAGTAGGAGAAAGTTTTCACGAATTCGACGTTGGAGTCCTTAAAGCGTTTATGACTTACTGAAAAAGGAAAACTGAAGTAGTAAGTGGAGTCTTCAGCTCGACAACATCGAAAAACTGGAAGGTTTTCATTGCCTTACAATTCTATTTATGAGTCCGTCGCTTGTGTTGGTGGAAACTTAACTTGTCTGAGTCAGAATCAGATGCGGTTGACGCTCTCATAACGAAAAACCTTTTTTTCACCAGATCATAAGCGACGACATCGCCAGCGACATCAATATACTTTCAATTCCGTTTGTTTGATTTTCAACAAATTATATCTCCATAAGTTTCTGACTACGAATCACGTTCCGACTCCGTTGTTGGTGAAAACCAGCTTAAAATATTGAACATGGACACCAAAGAAACACATCTCATACCTGTGTGTTACTGGGATGCAAAATGGGTGGGCTGAGAGGGACCGGAGGGCTGGGAGGTGGATGTACATCAGCAACTACAGTTTCTTCCTGGTAGCTTTTACTAGGTTCTGTGACTACTACTCGTACACTGGGAAAGAGAAGAAAAGATTCGGGTAAGCATCAACACTACACGCAAATTATACTTTAAATTAAAAATGATGGCGGTACATGAAACAGTTCCATACTTACGTTTCTGAGAATGCAGTTCTTTTCTTAGTGTTTGGCGTCATGTCAACTTCTACGGATTTGCGGGAAGGTTGAGAAGGGCTGGGGCTTCCCTGCTTCGATTTATCTGTTTCGTTATCTAGGAAGCGAATAGGAACATTGATCCAGCAGAGGTCAAATTTATAGAAAAGACTTTTAAAACCTTGACATTGAATAGGACAAACCTCTTAATGGTGGTAGCTTAAAGGTTCGGACATATATTGTTGAACGCAAGTGCGAAAGAAGATTTTGTTGTTCCATACGAGAATAGGTGAATGACGACAGTTTGACTGTAGTGAGAGGAAATGATGGAGCACACCTGATCTAAGCTTCGAGAAATGTCAATTTCACTATAGCTATTTATAAGTAGCCTCTTGAAGGGTAGTGTGTTTTCCAAATCGTCCGTGTGTAGGGAACCTCAGTCACGTTCCATAAAAGCGACTTCGCAAACGAATTCTGTAGCGAAGAAGACTATCTTAAAATCAATACCAATGTCACTATTTAGGCCAAAAACGAGCCCCTACCCTCTTCCCCTTCTTCACTGAGGGGATAAAGAACATTCAAAGTGATCTAAACTTCAATGGATGGCATACCCTGTTTTTCCTCCAAAGGGTTATTGCCTTTTTCTTTTCCCTCTTCATCTATTTCCTTTGCACGCAGTAGTTGATTAAAGTGCATTTGTTCTTTAGCTTTCTCCAGTCTCTCTTTTTCCTCTGCCTTTCGAGTAAGGATCTGCGTTTTGATGGCAAATTCTGGAAGAGTGTCTTGCTGCTGTTTGGCAATTTCATCCATTATAAACTTTTCGGCCTCCTGTTTGAGCAAAGCGGAGCTATCAGGCAAGGAAAGTTTTCTGGCCTAGTGACTCAGCCGCAGTACTCTGGATCTAACGTTAAGTGTAATTTTAGGCCGGAGAAGTTGTATGGTGTTCTCGGGCAATACCCTTTACTCACATTATACCTCACAGAGGCACTATGAGAAGGAAGTGGTAGGAAGCTCCCTACTTTGTCACCCCAGAGCAGAAATGGGTGCTGATAAACCGACAGAGACATCTGACAACATGACGGGGAAAAGTTAGCTCAAAGGAATGGCATCTAACGAGAAGGAGAAGCACCTCTAACTCGTGGATCGTGAAACCTTAACCTTCACTAAACCATTCATGTCGCGACGTTTTAATGTGCCCAGTTCCCAACTCTAATCACAGGAGGACAATAAGTAACCTACTGACCCCTTGTAAACGCAACGTTTGCCAATGCAAATTTTTACACCTCGATGGCGGCTTGAAAAACTATAGGCACGCATGTCTCCAGATTTGGCTATCCTTGGCTTAAATTCCTAGTTTATCCGCGCGAATTACGCACCTTGCTATGTCGGAGAACAAGCTCCAATTCCTTAAAAGACTTCAGTAAGTAGACCGCCTGCAAAACAATTCATCAAATAACATATAAAGGCGGTGTTTTAAATATATTTTTCCATTTTATAGACAGCTCACGGAAGGAAAGCATGTTCAAGATCCTGATTCAACACTGGCCCTAAGGTGGTAACTCTTGGACAGTAAGATCCAGCCGCCTTCGACCTTCTACTACAAAAGTGGTAGTGGCTGTGTTCCGAACAATCTCAGCCAATGTCGCACTCCCAAGCTGTGTCACTAGACTACAGAGGATAATGATTACAAATTGCTTACCTCCGAATACCTCAACTTCATAATATTCTTGCCATTCACTGCCACTATCTGGTCTCCGATCTGTGAAAAATGGAAACAGCCTTGTAAATACGGAATAGTAACGTGCGGTTGCAAAAGAATAGGAGAAACGGGGAAACATTCGGTGCTAGCTGAAATCTGACAAAGTGGACGCCGCTTTGTAACGCACACGGTTTTTTATCCATGGGGAAGGAGGGTTAGGGGCGGGGGTTAAAGGCGGGGGATCCCGATCCAAAAAGAAACGATTAGTATACTCCCTCGTTATCTAAGGGAAGAAAACTTGTTTGAGATCCGTGGGGGAAGGGGTTTAGGGGCGGGGGTTAAAAGCGGGGATCCGGATCCGAAAGAAGAAAGGAAGAAAAGTAAAAATTTTAACATCACTGGTTCACAGAGCTCATGAACGACTACAAAAGTGCAATCTCTAAACAGAAAACCGTTGATAAACTGTCGTAGGTTAAACAGGTGAAAACATTTGGTATTCATTTATTATCGTATTAACGCCTTAAAAAATCACTTTGAAGTTTAGAACTTGGGCCTTTAAATCAGTCAAGTTTAGTTGTAACTTCTTCCGCTGCCAAGTGCGCTAGACATGTTTTTCATCTAAGTTACAACTTCTAGGCTTAAAACATGTTCTATAAAAACTCCATTCAACAGTACAGAATCAAATTAGAGAAAGCTATGGTGACATGATTTCATCAATTTTACCAGCGCGCAAATAAATTGAGATGAAGAGAGGTACCCCTTCGGTCTGAGGAGAATTCTCTTATTTTACTTTATTTCTATTTATTTAAAAGTTTTTGATGTGTACTTTCAGACAAACACGCTGTGACTCACTCGTGCTCCAGTCTTGTCAGCCAATGAGCCAGATGTGACTGAAATAATGAACAGCCCTTCTTTGCCTGGTATTCCATTTCGAACACTTGAAAGCATGTGAAAAAAAATTGACTCAGCGTCACCACAAAACAAAAATCTTGAGCATATGTTTGTATAAATGTAGAAAACATTCAGGATAGTGACTGTCAAAAGTATTAGGGATTACATTCATAATGCTTTGCTTTGCTTAGCCTTCCTTACTCTCTCAACCCATTACATCCTGAAATCAGTTTGCAAATTCTCCAAAATGTTCTTTATACATTTCCTAAGGTTCTGACAAGGAGAATTTGTTCAACAATCAAGAGCTTCTTTGGTTGGTGATCATTTCCTTGATTCTCATGGCCTTAATGTTTGCTTCTGGGGTGATATTGTGAGGAGAAATTAGATGCTAGTCACTCTAAAGAGTTGAAGGTTTAACCAATCAGATACAAACTAAAACCATCCTTGACTTGGTGACTCACATTTTCCTGTACCTTTTGCTATTTTCACTTTGAGTTCTTGTTAGGCCAAGTTTCCCTTGTTCTGATTAGCCCTTACAGTTAATTTGATCATAATTTGATTATTAATTCCTCATAAGAGGAATTTTTTTAAGCACATTTGAAGGCAGAACAAGGGAGCAAAGCATGAAGAAACACACAGCCATAATAAAGTGAAAATTGTTTCTGGTAGTTAGCCCATATATCCTTACCTACATCCTATTCCCTTGGGTCCCACCACCAAGGTAACTTGCTTATCATCAGGACCTGCCACAAATCTGGGCTCATCTCTGAAATCTCCTTCTTTGATCAGATAATCCTAGAAAAAAATTCAGCCATTTTGCTTCACTTATCCAAGGCAACCAAAAATAATGTCCTGGATACTTTACTTTCCTCTTTCCATAATCACATGATCATCTTGTTTTGGCAAATCACAAGGTGATACAAATTTAATTTTGAATGCTCCCATCTTGAAAAAAATTCAGCAAATGTAACTTGGCAGCGCATCCATGATGTTCACACTTTTGAAACCAAGGGGGCTGAACCAAAACCATAACACACAGTTTACAAACAGCTGCTGGTGCACTCATTGCAAAAAATTATTCTTTATAGAGTTCAGAATTTTGTGTTGCTCCTATTTGTTCAAAGAGATTTGCCTAGAGATGATAAAAAGTGGTTTAACACTCTGTTACTTCAAATTAAGGTAATCATCCAGGTTGCCATGCAAAGTTCAATTTGTTCCACCAATGGAGATTTCCTTCAGAGTTATGCACAAAAAAATGAGACTTTTTTTTGGCGTTTGCAGCAAAAATGTTTTTATATGTGAAAATATTAGATTTAAGAAAAATGATGCTTGGATTTGCTAACCAGTAAATCAGGATGATAATAAACATTCTCTTTTCCTTCTGCAGTCTCCCAAGTAATAATATCATGTCTGTTGAAAAATTAAAATAATTTTTAAATGACATTTAAGAACACGAAACCTACATTAATCTATCAACAACTGGCTTAAATTTATCATAAACTGAAAGGAAAATTCAAACAAAAAGGAGGGTCACTATTAACTTACATCTTACAGGGAACTTTTCCTGTAGCTGTTAAGCAGAAGAAAATTGAATTATTAATCATCACCCTTGATGCAGTTGTATGCATATGTGCAGCATAATGGAGATATCTAAGTCCCTCACTAGGATATAAACCTCAAACCTTTGGATTTCACAGTTTGATGCTATACCAATAAGTGCTCCTCAAAGTTTCAAGACAACCTGGAATGCACACATGTACTGGGTTGAAGTCATACATGACTGCATACTTCTAGGATCAGTATTATCCAAAGCCAAGTTTGTGCAAGTAGATCAAAGATGACTAGAAATTTTGAACCTAGGGCTGGTGCTTGGTAATGGAAAATTCATTTGTTACGGGTGAAAAACACGGTATCAACACTACATACTCACTTCTTACTTTCAGGAGAAGATTATTGTGTGACCTTAAGATGTTGACTACCTCTCCATGTGTGGCTTCCCCAAGGTACAATCCATTAATACTTAAAATCTCATCACCAGCCTGCAAGAAAAATTCAACAAATAATGTACAAATTAACACCGAAAATTAACTTGGTTTCTGTTTTATCTTTAGTTCAAGTCACATTTCTATATATATATTTTTCTTGAAACAAAGCAAAATATTAATCAAACTAGTTTGGAAATATTTTATGTCCTGAAGTCACAGAGTTGAAACTAAAACTACTACATGTATATACACGACCAAATTTCTAAGTGGAAACACAATACAGCTATGCAAACTTAAAGCCTTGAATGAGACAATATCCTTTTCTAAAATAATTATATGACCAGCAAGAAACATGTCAAGTTTCATTTGATGCTGATACAGAACTGATATGTTATAATCATGGAATGATGTAGTGTGGAATGTGATACAAACACATTGTATGTACAGCTACACATAAAAATATGCCATAGGTCTGCATGTAAATGAAACTGTGAGTACCTTTAAACCAACAATGTCTGCTTGTGAACCCCGTGAAACAAGGGACACAAAGATTCCAACCCCATGCTCTCTACCTGCAGAATAATTTGAAAAAAATTATGACATAATTTTTTACTAAATACATTTCAGGTACTGCTCATGTCTTAACAAGCCCCCAATCTCAAAAAGCCCACCACTCTTCCGCCCCTTGAACAAAAAAAATTTAAGTACAGGCTGTACACCTGCAATGAAGGTAGCAAATCGAAATAAAATATTTTTGTATTTCAAAGCCTTTATTTGTTTCCAATTTAAATGTTAAAGGTTTCTCAAACTTACACAGAAATGTGCACAGATGCATTATAGTCAGGACAGTCAGAATATAAATAACATCTTACATTTAATCCAATATTTCTTTTTCTATATAGTGGAAGAGAGCCCCAAAGGTGAACTATACAATTTTAAAAGTATGTATTCTTGTATATATATGTACAATCATGTATATGCCCCCTTCTCAGAAAAGTTCCTCTCTTTACAACTGAACTCCCATAAAAATTAATACACTCCCTCCATTTAAGGACATATTGGAGTACTGGGTCAGTAATAATCACTAGTGTTTTTATGGTTATCATTTTGTGTCCTCAGTCAATTACAAGTACAGTGTGTGAATGGTTACCTCCTCGAACACTGAGTCCAATAGCATTATTTCCAACATGCTGCAGCTTGATAAGACGTATTCCATCACTGAAATAAAATTACAATTAAAAACTGTCAGTGATATCTATGATCAGATAAAAGAAATATGTACAGTTTATGTTCTCATAAATATTTAAACTACTCTGAGATTGTTGCAGCAGTAACCATATGGTGACTTATTCTCGTACTAAGATCAATATTTTGAGTGAGACAATGGTCACAAATTTCCAATCTAAACTTGGTATAGTTCTAAAAGTTTGCAAGAATTCAACAAAGTGCAACATTAATTGATAACACTTTTTGAACTAAACCCCTCTCTTGATGCACAAAAAAATTTTCAGTTTTTATGGATTTTTTTTTGCTTTTTATACAATTTCTGAGGCTGCCTAGTTACAGACTGACAATTTTGCAAAAAAAAACTACAGGAACAACCATGAACATGAACACACATCAGGAGTACAGGATAACTACATGTAATTCAATTATTTCAAGTAGAATTTTGTTTAATTCAAATCATACACCTTGGTGACTTTGGAATCAAATTCTGGTAAGTAGTAGCATCTGCTGGGTTAATCACATGCCTGCAGTGTATAATAAACATAAAATAATGATTATTAAGACATACCTGTAAGTATAATTACTGGTACACTATATATCAGCTACATTACATGTACAAGTGAATGCAAGCTTCCACAATAATTATTAACCAAATAATTTGAGCACTGAACCGCTTATGGGGGAAAAAGGAGTCATTTTATTAGCCTCTAATACCACTAACCCAAACCTGAGGGACCAGGGACTCTCTATTGTTTAACTGTCAGGCTGATTCTGACTGTCTGTGATGAAGTGATTGCTTAACTAACTTACTGATTGACTGGCCTTTAACTATGTTGCTGAATCAAACAAACCAACAAGATGACCACATGAATGACTGATTGACAGACCGACTGATAAAAAAAAAACCTACCTCACTTCTCTGAAGAGTGGGTACCTCTTGGGAGTATTAATCACAGACCTTAGTTCACTAACAAGTTTTGTAGGTGAGTTTGACCTAACAAAATATTTGACATTTGAATACATGTACTAAACTGTAGTACTGAATTACCTTTACCAAAATCTCATAATTTATGTACCTCATTTCAACTGAAAACTTTTACATTGCTAATTTTGCTCTTCCAGAAATTGCATCACTAGCTATAACCACGCTCTTCCAAATCTGCGCTTTCCTCGTGTTTTAGGGCAAGATCTTCGCACAACCCAAAATAAGCTCTTTGACAAAAGTAAGCATGGCGAAAAAAATTACCACCTTTCAGACTAATGCTTTGTTTTAGAATAGAAAGGGGGTTACACGGAATTCTATACTGCATTTGGCACAGCTCTAGCTTTACATGCATTGAACAATTTCCCTTCTTCCAAGGTAGGTAAGCTTAGTTTACTGTTCTATCAAAGCAACAGCGATGTAAAATGCTCTTTGAAACTCACGCTTGGTATCCCTTCAGGGCTTCATAAAATGAAACTCTCTCTTCCTCATTCTCAATTAAGACTCTAACCTAAAGAGATAAGTGGCACTGTGAGCTTTCAGAACAGTAATGCACAATTCAAGGTTTTATTCCGAACTAAGATGGCCTCTATCAACTTCACAGCTGGCCAACAGTTCCCTAAAAAGAGAGTTCGTTGTTTTTTTTTTTTTTACCTTATTTTTAAATTCTGTAGCATGTTTAGACAAAGTGAATAGATTCTCCTGCTCAAATCCTCGTCTCATTTTTCTCTAACATGACAAAAATTGCAGACAACAGATGTAGCTTCGATAATAATGTCTGAGGACCAAAACAAAGTTTTACCAACGCTGCAGGAGAGGTAGCAGAAGACTGGTACTAATAACTATGTTTTGAAGGCTTCGGGTCAAAGCGGTCAGCGATTTCTGCGGTGATGCATGACGTCATCATGCTTTCGTTTTGGCTCGGCCGTTCAGAACATTTGAAATGCGTTGTTTAGAATCGAATTTTACGACATTCTAACGTAATTAGAACACTTGCGATGGATGTAGACTGCGAATTAGATGGCGATCTTTTAACAAAATTTAGTTGTTTAGGGACCACGGATCACGATGTTCTAATTAATGAACTTCAAAGACTGTTGGATTTTCAACTCAATCCGTCGGGGTGCGCTTTCTTCCTCGATATGACAAACTGGTAAATATAAATTGCTTTATTTTCGTTTTCAGGCCTTCTCTTCTGTGGATGTTTATTTACTTTGTTTAAATTTAATCTGCTGGAAAAATCGTGACGCTAATCAATGGCTTTGTTTTTCCGTCATGACTGTTTGCCTGTCTCAAGGAATCTCCAGGTAAGATTATGTATATTTATTTAAGTGTTGTATTACAGATTGGATTGGGTAACTTGTATTCATTCAAAAGACATTCGATTTCTTTCGTTTCTCATGGTCAAACCTTCCAATTTTCTCTAATGAGTCTTTTGCGCCGGTGCGGTTTTTGTCTTTTTTTTTGTGAACATTCTTATATGATTTAACGTTATTGTACAATTTCAAATTTTAATTGTTATGGTTGGGATTCACTCCTGTTATCCTTTACTGGTGTTGAATTGTGGTATTCAGCGGGCATTTTATGTTCGTGCGGCATATTTGTGGTCACCTAAGGTGTAGGTTGGATATTATGAATGTACAGTACATAACGAATTATTTAATGCCTTCTGTAAGCTTCAACCCCAAAGTTTCACTAACAGATACTCGCATATTTCTTTAATGGCTGGTTTAGAGAATTTGGAGTTAGACCACAATTTAAATATTCCAATTCTCATCAACCATCGGCACTATTTGACTTTTTATCAAAAGTACATTAAATATTCAGATCACTCAAAGATTGAAAGGATATTACACTTTACCATTGTGTAGGAACTATTCTGGTAGATTTTAGGATTTCATTTATTTCAGCTGTCTATTAATTATCAAGACAGAATTTCTCCTTACAATATATATATATATAGGTAATAAGAAGAAAGTAAAAAAAAAAAATATATATATATATATATATATATATATACATTATGAAGGAGACAAGTGATGGGAATGAATAAAAATATTAGTTGGAATCACTAGTTGATCCATTACTAAATTCTCCAAACTAACATTATAATAATTGTATCACATATTAAGGAGAATTACTAATGAGATCTTGGGAGTAGAGGGGTTAAGCTTTTGAATGTGCACATGTGTAATCAGTGAATGAGAAAACTAAACCCTTTCTCATTGTGTGACCAAATGTGAATTTCTCCTTACTCTATTGATATATTTTTTAAGCAGTTAGGTAATGAGAAGAAAGTAAAATATTAACCAGGGGATATTATTTGATTTAGCACCAGTTATTAATCATTATCATGGCAAACAGTTTTTCATATCCTGGGAGTGAATGGGTTAATTAATGAATGCAATGTCATCGTGACTCACTTAATTACATCTTGAACAACCAATGGAATAAACTTGACAAATGACAAAAGAATTTCTGAGGAAAAGAACTCTCATAACAGTAGTCTCATGGTTATCTTAGAGATAATTATAGTAACAATGGCTCCTACTATACAACATTGCATCATGCACAAAATTCCAGTTTCACAACAACAAATAACTGTTACTATTTTTCTCACCAAACTCTTCATTCCCAGTTGTGCCAAAAAAAACTTTCACTATGCAGATTATTTCTTTCATAATTTAAGAATGATTTGTCCCACAAGCAGAGGTTTCCTTGAATTATATTTTGTGGTATCACTATTCAAATCACCTCAAATGTATTTTCTTTTTGCTTTTGTAGGCAGCAGTAGGGGCTTATTATGATTTTAACAGTCCTCAAGACAAACTACCAAGTATGGCATTCATTAGAGATGTGACAATTGGAGAGGGAGAGTCTGTTCCACCTAACACAGCCTTTGTGAAAACATGGAGAATTCAAAATAATGGTAAAAATCTAGAACTGTTTGTGTTTTATAGCCAGTGTTACCTTTAACTGGCAGCTTAAAAGGGTATGATTTTGTTCTGTTTTTCAGGAATTGGGAATAAGATTTTGTGTTATTCTTAAACAGTTTAAAACATTATCTACAATAAAAGGTACCAACATCTGAACACAGATTTCTGATGTATAATTTGCTAACCATTAACAATCACATCTTCTAAGTTTGAGTCATATGCATAATGTAACTTAGAAGCTCACAGTGCTTGTTTTTCTTACAGGCATTATTGCATGGCCCAATGGAGTGTTTCTAAAATACACATCTGGTGACCAACTGGGTCCTGTAAATTTGGTTTCTGTTAAATCTCTGAGTGCTGGCGAATTTTATGACCTTAGTGTGAACATGATATCACCTGCGAAAACAGGCATGTATCAGGGTCAGTGGAGGATGTGTACACCATCTGGACAGTATTTTGGGGGTAAGTAAATATACTGCCAAACTTCACCATGTGCAATACTTGTCACAAGTCCCATAAACTTATGTGACAGAAGTGCAACTATGTATTATGTCCTCTGTTTTTTTTTGTTTTTTGGTTTTTTTGGGTTTTTTTTTTGTTTTTTTTTTTTAAGTTGAAGTCTTCCTTACCTCCCAACCCCCTCCCCCCTTCTTTAAAAATAATTTTGTTTAATTGTGGAGACTGGATAAATGTAATTTTTAATTTGAAATCTTTATGGGAGTCAACTTGATAAAACTCAAGGCATAATTTTTTTCACACAATTTGTGGCGTATATTATAGCTTATTCTTCTAGTCTTTTTTTTTCAAGTAACAAGCAAATTTTATTGAAGTTCCTGATTTAATCATTGTGAATTCAGCTCTGAATTGTTGCTGTGAACTTTCATGAGACAAAATTGCTGTGGACTTTTACTTTAAAGGGGCTTTTTAATCCTTCACACCATAACATCAGCATGTAAATTCTCCACACAGCTCTCTATACATTTCCTGTAGCAGTGACAAGGAGAATTAGCTTGAAAATCAAGAGATTTTCAAGTTGGCAATTGTTTAATTATATAAATCCTTTACTTTCAAACTGCTTCTCTTCACACAGGAGTATAAATGGGTATCTGCAAATTGTCAGGGAAGCCTGATAAAACACACAAGAGGGGCATCTTTGGGATAGACAAGCATCCCATCCATGGGGGGGGGGGGAGGAGAGAGAGAGGAGAGAGTGGTGAAACTCCTAATCACTTCCTGCCAAGGAAACCAGGATTAGCTCTAACTAGGTGGGCTACTCGGCTTGAGTACAGACATTACCTTACCATACATTTCATGCCAAGGAAACCAGGATTAGCTCTGACTAGGCAGGCTTCTCGGCTTGAGTGCAGACATTAACTTACAATACACTGATTTATTTTACTTTTAATTTTAATGTTTCAGATGTTATATGGGTCATTCTATGCGTGGATGAAGGAGGATTGTTAGGACTCACACAGCAGCTGTCATCATTAGGAAGGGAAATGAACTTTCATGAAGGATCCAACCCTTCATCAACCTCTGCTAATCCTTTTGGACTTTCAACACCTATCTCGATTTCCCCACAACCTATTTATTCTGTTCCCCATAACAGCCCAGCTAATGGGGTTATCCATGTTTCACCAGCTAGGAGATCACTTTTTAATTCCACGGTAAGTTAACATGAAATTGGACATTGCATTTCATTAATTTTTACAGTTGACTCAGGACTGTGAACTCAAACCCTCACCTACTAAAACTGCATGCAAACTTGAACCTGAGTTGATTTCACTCTGATAACTATCAAACTATCATCTTCGCAACAATTTCAGTGATCTTTTTTGCTGCCCTTGTTTGGTCCAATCATGCAATGTATCATCTCTCCTACCTCAAACCTTTGATGAGCTCAACTTCCCACTTTCTGATTTTCTGGAAGAGTCCAGACCAATGGCTAAAAAGTTGTTTTTAACCCCAGCTGTTGTGAAATACAATTACAATATTTTTTCAATTAAGCAACCTTGGGGAGGAGGGGGGGGGGGAGGAGAGGGAAGAGAAGGGAAGGTGTCTATTAACTTTTCCTACTTAGAAGGTGGGTGCTTATTGAAGGTTGGACACCTACTGGTAATCAGATAATTACAGTATATGTCTTAATTTGCAACTGCAACTGGCTAAGAAATAGGATTAAACAGTTGGAAATAAGTAAGCAGCATTTTTATTGTGGGCTCCTTTTCTTATAGGTCAGTGGAGAGAATCTAGAACCTCTCATCTCACCTAGTATACAAGTTGGATCAGTGTTCCATAGCAAAGAAGAGGAAAGTTTAGTGAATCAATTAAAGGATACATCTCTATTACAAGACTCAGATATAGATCATTCATAACAATTACATGGGTGTTTGTGATTTTGAACAATTGTGGGTTCTGTCCAGTGGTGGAATTTGCCATGGTGACAACACTGTAGACATTCAAGGAGTACTAAATTAAATTCTTACTTTGATATTTGCTCGCCCAAATTTTGGCAATTATTCAAAGGTTGTGAACAGATTTTTTTTTTTTAACTGACAGCTGAAAAGTCATGATATACATGTAATACTCTAAACAGGAATATTTTACCAGACCTTAGTTTGGTAATTCGACACAATTTCATGTAATCGACCTGACATGATTAATTTGGCTCAGTGTTGTTTCAGCCAAGAGAACAAAGGTACCTTATCTAATAAGCACATGCTTTTTGTATCCCTTAAACTCCCAATAGTGATGAATACGAAAATTCTCCCCCTAACATCCATACATTATCCATTTAACAGGTAATGAGAATACTCAGGCTCATGAGTTAGAAGGTGTTTTCTTGATCTAACACCAAATTCCTGTCACTAATTTACAACAAAACGTGTATCAGACAGAGGGTGAATTAACAATTAGATCTTGGGAGTTTGGGGGGGGGGGGGGGGGGGGGGGGGGGGTAATGCAAGGCTGGGAACGGAACAAGATTACAACAACTCGTGGCACACTTTGACATCAACCAGGTGATTGGACAGTTCCCATGGTTCTGGTCTTTTAACCTTTTGACCCCTAAGACTGACCAACATCTAAGTTCTCCTTACAATATCATCCCTGAATCAAACATTAAGGTAACAAGAATAACGAAAGTGATCATCAACCAAAGAAGCTCTTTATTGTTTTATAAATTCTCCTTAACAGCACCTTAGGAAATGTTTAGAGAACAGTGAGGAGAATATGCATGCTGATGTTAGGATGTTGTGGGATTAACTAAAAATCACAGACAAAAAAGTCTTTTTCCCATGGGTAGCCTGCCCCCCCCCCCCCCCCCCCCCCCCCCCCCCCCCATCCAGGGTCAAACCATTGCTGGGTACATTACTAGGAAGCCTCAGCTCAAATTTGACACTTTGCAGCTTAAATGCCATTGAATAATTTTAAAAGCCTTCCAGTCACAAAGTAATTTTTTTGCATTATTAATTATTTACTTCAGCCCATATTTTTAAATTTGCACGTATTATTCAGTAGGGGCTTTAACTTAGATGGTTTTTAAATTAAACAATTGTAGTCTTAGCTTGCCATATGTAACTTAATGTAATTATCTCGAGGTAGATGTTTTATGAATAACATGGTCACCATGTTTTAACGTTCAAAGGGACTGGTCATTATTTATTACCTGTTAATTGGGGGGGAAGAAAGGATTTTAAATGATGAATTATCGTTAAATGATGACTGCTCCTTAAAAACTAATTTTTTTTTTGTAAAAATAAAGTTGTTAGTCGTAATTAGGTTTATTTATGGTACACATGTTGCACTTGTGTAAACGAAGCACCTCTCGTTGTTCACAGTGTCATGAATTTTTGGTAAACACGGTGGAAACCCACAATAATCCAAATTAATCGTTATGGTATCTCGAATTTTAAATCATGTTTTGGTGAGCTTCTTGAAGATAGCAGCAAGTTTGATTTTCAGAACCAACAATCACAAAATTATACAATCTGTTCAACCTTATTGATCCGTGTCATGTCATTTTTTTTCTCCTGCCCCTCAAATACTGTGAGATTTACATTTACAGAAAGAAAAGTCCCTTTACAGAAAGGGACTTTACTTTTTTGAACCATCGATGATGCAAATTTACTGAAGCAATAGACCGAACTTTTAATCGGGTCACCGGCATTAATAAATCACGCAGGATGTCGGAAGAACACGAAAAAGTTTGTCATTCACTTGCCTTCGGCTCGTGATTAACAGCCTTTTCTCGTGTTCTCCCAACATCCCAAATGGGTTATTACGCCGGTAAACCGATAGAAAGAGCTGTCCCTTGCTTTCATAAAGTAAAATTGAAATGTTTCAATTTCCTATGGGTTACCCAGTGCAATAAACGATAGGTTGTCGACCAATCAGGGCATTGTTAGTATCTCGGTTATTTATAATGTTTGATCCGCCACACTTCCGTTGCATTATTTTTCATCATTGGTTTTGTTAGATTGTATTTTTAATTTTGAATAATGAGTTAAGTTACCTCTACCTATATCTTGAAGTAATTTTCCTCTTCTCTAACATGCCTTGTTTAACCTTTTTTCTGGCTTAGTTTGAATTAATAACGATAGCGATAACTTCTGGAAACTTGTTTAGATACCCTTCATAGAGTTATCTTTGTTATACTGATAAAACTTGTTTGTAAATTGCGATTGAGGAGGAGTTTCATATTGTATTGTGTCACTGGCAAAGTTGAAGCGATCATTTCAAGTGTTGTTTTGGTCTGACAATTCTACTTTTTTTTAATTTCAATTCCTCTCGCGAAAATGGACGGCTTATACTACAATTGGAATAAATTGATGGTCATGGTTTAAAAAAAAAAACTGAAAGAAAACATCGAAAGTCTGCTGACTTCCTCATTTCGCCTTGGTTCAAAGCAATTTTCTGCAGTACTAAGCGGGTTTGTGAGCTAAAAATTTCGAATACCTGTTAATTTGTTTCATACTTAAAATGTTATTACTATAATTAGAGAGAAGCAAATTGCACTCTACTGATAAGACATGCTACAAAGTTAATTAAAAAAGCCAGCTCAGTTTTCGCATGTTAGATTTAATGTTGTCAGTGATAACTCTTTGCTGCCTGGCATGAAAGAGGCAATGTTTCTCTAGATTCCATCGGAAAGAACTTTAGTATTGGAGACTTTGCAAATACTATAAATAGTACTCTTAATATTGAGTTTCGCCAAACCCCTGCTGGTCTCAATGTCTAAGTTACTTAATCCAACTTTGAAAGAGCCTCTGTCACTTGAATTTGATCACTGTGTCACGAAATGGCTGTTGATTTTCAAGCGTCTGTGTGATGAACGTTTGTACACGGTTTTTCATGTGATCGTTTTGTATTTGTTTCGTGCCTCTTGGCTAGTTGATCCGGTGTAGTGAACTTGAAATTAAACAATGCCCAGAAAAGGAGATATGGTTGAAATAAGTCTTGAATACTAAAATAAGTTATCCATCACGCTAGAGAAAAGATGCAATTTACAAGAAATTTCTAGGCGTTATTAACATAGCTGGCATAGTAGGCGTTTGACCCTGCATCCAGACGTTAGCTCTGTTTGAAACAAAATATGATAACAGAAAGGGTCAAACTCATACTTGCGGCCATCTGGCCAAAAGTGAAATTTTTCTACTCGAAACCGTAGTTTGTTATATTTCATTCATAGTTGGGGAAATGATGTTGCCTTATTATCGCTTACCTGATAATATGTTTATCAGATGCATTCCTATGATTAAGTTTAGAGCAAATTTACAGACAAAGACTGAAAGAGGCGGAGATTCCTTGAATTGTTTCGAAGACTACTCGTGTCTAAGTATGTATCGAGGCAATAGCCTAACAAAAAAAAGGTTAATCTTGATTGGTAAATTGTCTCGTAAATCTTGATCTGAATTGACCTCATGTCGTTTATGTTAACAGAAGTTTAGCCAATTCGTTGTGGGGAGCATTTCCGCACACTTGACCAAAAAAAGCCAAAAGAGGTACTTGGTGCATGCCGTTACAGAATGGCGCGTTCCCATTGGCCTGATCACCCATGCGAAACATCAACAATAATCCATTTCAAGTAAGCATTTCAGCAGCGCTTTTCAATATCTAGGTGTGTTTACAAAGTCACTGCATCAGTGTCAGACAACAAACTCTTGGCATTTGGCTCCGTTCGCGACAACACAAGACAGAAAATCTTCGCGCAAACTGTTCGACTTTAAAAGGCATGGATCCTGTGAACGGAGATGTGAATATCGCCGCGGTGAACCACACAGATGATTCCAGAAACGGAGAAGTAGATGATCCACAACTTGTAGCAGTGAAAAGTGCTAGTTATTGGGAAGAGGTTGACAAAGAAGAGATCGAACGCGAACGAACGTAAGTTCTAAAAATTGTTAGTGAAATGTAAAGGCGATTTCGTCACCAATCGCTATTGGGTAGAATTTCGCGTTTTTCTGAACGGGATGGTTATTTAAATGGTTAATCTTAAAAATTCATGTGATGTAAATCATGTGCTCCACCAGAGCATAGTCAAATTCTCCTAAATTTATTAATCGGAAAGATCGACCTTTTTGCGGCCTTAAAGTTTAAATGTAACTTTTATTACTTTTAACTTCAGTTTAGCGCTTTCGTTTGCAATTCTTTACGGCCTGTGGTTTGGGAAAATGCCCTTGTTCTAAATGTTTGTTTGTACAGAGATAACTTTAGCTCTGGTGGATATTTTTACATAATGTCTTTGCCCTTTGAACAACCGATCCAAAAGATACGAAATCGCGAAAGGACTGTTTTAGCCTGAAGCTTAATTCAGCGACAATCTTGAATATTTATGCATCTCTTAGCGTTTACAATGGCCCTACTGGATGCAAAAGTATGTCTTTTTGTGCAAACAAACTAGATTTAATTATTCCGAGCCTTGTTCTACCACCAAACTAACTTTTGTCCCTTAGAGGACTTTGAACATTAACTGGCAATGAAGAACTTGACCTAGTGGAAGAACAACTTACTACAACTTGCTCATCAAAATTATTTCAAGAAGTTTTTCAATGAAATATGAATGACCTCTGTTGGATGGAGCTCGCTGCTTTTGTACCATGACAGATGGTAATTTTTAGCGAAAATCGTCACGCCATGATATTTTCTAACACTTCAGTAGATGACATTCCTCATAGCCAATAAAATTGCCGCATCTGAAGTCCCTTAATCTCGAGCCAATTAGCCCCAAATCGGGTAGTCAGCACACTGATTTGGGGGATTTGTGCGTATTGAGTTAAAACCCGTATAGTTTGAGTGTGTTCTCCCAATAAAAACAGCATTATCTGGGACTGAGACAAAATCAACATTTGTGTAAGATCAGTGATGTCAATAATGAAAATACAAATGTGGGGTAATTTTGGCATACACTTCAGATAGGAATTACAGTGGTTTTAAGTGCTCCTTAATTTTTCAAAGAGACGTAACACAAAAGGAAACACTTTGAATAGCATAAATTTTTCCAAAGGGCCGGGGATGGACAAAAATTCTCGAACTTTCTATTTTACAAGTGGGACACTACATAAAAGGGAATCCGTGCGTGGCAAAGGAAATACTATATTTCACGCCGATTTTATTTTGGTAATCGGATGGGGTCTAAGTAAACACAGTTCGATCTGATCAAGGTGATATATACGTTAAGCATGACTAATTTGATTAAAATGCCAGCCTCGGGCATTATAGATCGTAGATAATATCGAAATTACTTGCTTTTAAGCTCGTTTATTGCTCTACAGTATAGCTCGTCTGTCATCTGTAGATGACCCATTTGCCTCACCGCTTTGTCTTATTTACTAACCGCACAATGTCCAAGAATCCTTTGACGGTGGCAAGCACACATAAAATTGTAGAGCCGATCTCAATTTCCATCCCAACTGAAGCAATATTTTCCATTCTTTGAAAATACCGTATTGATGCAGGCCAAATTCGTTTAGCTCAGTTTCCTTTGTTTGTCTTGTTTGAAGTGGAAATCTAGGGGAAATCTCAAGAGACCCTTTCTTCGTTTCCTGAAAAACAAACTTATGTCGAGGGTGTGTAAAGAAAAACTTGTCACACTCTGTTTTCATGATCAACAATCAAGTTTGTTTTGCGGCAAAATTAACATTGCGTTGACATTGTAAAGTCAAAAGCTTCCAGTAGAGATCGTATAAACTGTTCTTTAACGGCCCCATGCTCTGATAAAATTGTAACAATTCTGCGTAATTTTTTTAGGTGCTCAGTAATTGTCAAGCGGGACCCGCTCATGTAATCTTCCTCAGTCCCTTCATATTTCGCTCCTTGCGTAAGACTTAAGTTCAAGTCCACTTAAAACTACATTGAAAAGGAACCCATGTTGATTAAACTGCACTCTGCGACTCTAGGTCAAAACTATCCGTGGGGGGTTCCCAGGGGGTGGTTTTGACTAGAATGGCTTTTGAAATTGTAGCTATATCTTTGCATTGTTTGGGCTGATTTGATGTTGCATAAATTAAAAACAGTGACAATTTTAGGTCTCTATGATTGCTATCACAAAAGAAGGATCAGGAAATTTATCATTTTATTTCGTGTTTTCTCCCGAATAGGAAAAAAATACAATTTTTCTGTCAACCCTGAGGTTGAAAACTTCGATCGAAAATATTTCTTTAATGCTATAATTCCCGTTTTCTCGATCTTTAAGATATACATTCATTTATTTAAGAATTCAGAAATATTAAACAGGATCGAATTTCCATAGACGTCGAAAGTTTCACACAGTCAGAATCTCTCTACAAAAAGATGGAAATCTAAAAAACAATAATTAATTCAAAGCATACATGTCATTTGAACGAGTACATGACAATTACCAGCATTACGAAAGGATCAAACAGGAGGTGTTAAATTAAACGGTGGACGATGCACAGCGATATATATAATTGATTATCGTCCTATGTCACCTGTTCAACCCTATTGTGACGGAGCTTTTCTGGAATATTTCTTTGGCACCTGGTTGTAAATGAAGTTTAATGAGCGAGATACAGACAGTCGAGGCTCTCTGACAGAGAGCCGACTCTCGGTAACTTTATTGAATGCAATCAAAGTTCTGTGATGGTATTGGTAGATCTAGCATTGTTTGTTGCCCACCCTGCCAGGCTGATACGCAAGTCAAGGCGGTTCTGATTATTTTATTTTCATTGCTGGTAGCGTGTTTTGGCGGCTCCTTCAGTCGATTTCAGTGACTCTAGCCGATAGATATCGCATTCCACCGGACAATTTCGATTTAGAGCTTAAAGGTATGTTTCACCATCGCTGATTAATTCATTTTTTCAACCTGTAAACAAACCAGGTTTTGAACTTCTGGAGTACTAACTCATCCATTGGTGTTTTGAGGTAGCTCAATAGTCAAATTCGACGGCAAGATGTCGATAAAGAACAAAATCAAAGCGTTTCTCGGACTTACCAACCGTTGTATGACTTGAATTTCCAATGCTACGTATCCAGATTAAAAATTTTAAGATTATCGCTGTGAATTTGATCATTCTGCTGTCAAACAATATTATACGACGTAAAAAATTTTAGATCCTTTGATAAGTGCTTCTAGTAATGTTTTCATTTGAAACGAAACCCGTGGCACGTGTTTCAGAATTATTGGTATTCTAGTTCAAAATATGAAGGAATAAACATTTGAAACCAAAAATACTTTCGAAAAGCCTAGAATCTTCAGGCACGATTTTCAATATTATTCCTTAGAAATTTAATATCATATTCAGATTTGAGAGTTACACCTCGCCCTAGGGCTTCCATGCATTTGTAAATTTTTCGTGACTGTTACATTTGGATGATAGAGAGAACCTTGCAGTGTAACTGTTGGACAGACATACAGTGAGGCAATTTTTTACGACTTCCGTGGTGTGTTTGAATTGACAATGTTACTTTTGGATCAGATAAGGTTTCATAATTTATGAGATCTGGTAAGATAATTTTCAGGTCAAGGTCTCATTAAGCAGCCATTTTTCGATTTTGCGAGAACACTTTTCCAAGAATGATGGCTTTGCGGGTGCTCTTTGGTAAGCGATCCGCAGATTCCCAGTTTCTGCCATTTTGGGCCGACAATAGAATGATTACTTTGTTCAAAAGCTCATCATTTAGTTTCATCGTCAATTTTTTTTCCATATTTCTGGAACGTGATCGGTGGTGAAATTAATTGTTCTGAACTGGTTTTGCATATTTCATTTCGAAACCATTCAGTCAGTCAGTTAGTAATCCGGTCAGCTATCCAGACAAATTAATAAAAGATAAAAGGGGTTAAGTTTCTACATAAACTGTACTGCAACGTCGGGGGGGGAGGGGATAATTTGGTTTTATGTAAATGTTTAACGTAAACTGGCCACCATAAAGATTTTCTGATGGTGACATTTCGTGCATTAATCGTCAGGGAGCATGGAGAGTTATGCAGAAGGTCAGAGAGTTATTTTTTTTCTCTTTGAATCAGTGTATTTTGTCACTCATTGGAATAATCGTTGACTGCTTACTTGTAAAATTTTGTGTAACATTAAGCAAAGAGGCTAAGTTTTTTTTAACGGAATACCACCTTAATATTCGAACAGAACTGTGAAGAAACGAGACACGGACCTTAAGTACTGAACCTTACAAGCCTTAACCCTTTAACTCTCATGAATGACCAAGACAGAATTTCTCCTTAAAATATCAATACAATATCAAGCAGACAAGGGATGAGGATAAAGAAAAGTATCAAATTGAGGATAATAAGTTGATCCAATACTAAATTCTCTGAGCTAACATTATAAGAATTGTATGGCTGACAGTAATGAGAATTACATTTTTGATCCGGGAGTTAAAGGGTTAAGAACTTAACATTGCGAACGTTTGTGTTATTTTTAATTAGAACCTGGCATGAAACCGAATACTGTTTGTCTTCTCAAAGGGGCGTGTTTATTGACACACACATAGCCTTCACCTACCAGAGTTGAGTTTAAGCCTTCGAGAGAAGTTGTTGTTCACGGGTACGGATAGTTTTCCTTGACGAGCTAGAACCTTGGAATTTTGTAAATCTAATTTTTAGGAGGATACAGTCAATAAAAACCGTAACAAGAACATATCGACAGAGCTTTGGCTCACCTTTGTCTTTTTCTCGTCTCTTTTTAAGGGAACAAGAACAAAGAGGGAAGATTACAGAAGAGGAGCTTCCAAAAACCGGTAGCGCAAGACGAGCCAAGGAAATCTTTGAATCTAAGCCGCAACAGCAAGAAAAAGAGACTCCAATAGATTTGCAGATACTTTCAGGCGTGACTAAAGCAAGCATGAAGAGGTATCAAGAACATCAGGCTTCAAGAGCAAATTCGCGTCAAAGGGAGATGGAAGATCTCGAAGATATTCAAGGTGGAATAGCCGCTTCAAACAGAGAGGCCTTTGAAAAAGGTAAAGTGAGTAATGCAGAAAGAAAGGTAGGAGATGAAGAAGAGGAACACTTACCAACCGCAGGCATCGCATCCAAGACGCGTGCAAATTTCGAGTCTGGTCAGGTCAACCGTGCCGAGGACAGACACGTGAGTGAGAAGGATATCATCGAAGAAATGCCTTCAGCTGGTGCTGCTTCCGCCGTGCGACGTCGATTTGAGAAGAATGGTGAAGGTGAAGAAAAGGCACAGAGGCGTCTGAGCTTTGAACCGGAGAAAGGAGAGGCCAAAGCAAGAACTGCTATGTACATGCAAAGTTTGGAGGACTCATCGAACAAGAATCAGGCCTTAGACGAACAGGATGCTCTTCCTGCTCCGGGCAGCGCACGTGGTGTCAGGCAAATGTTTGAACAGGATAAAGTTATCCACGCCGAGTCGAATCTTCAAGACTCTTGGAAGGAAGAACTTCCGCAATCTGGTGCCGCTCGAGCAACTAAGGAAGCTCTTAAAGCAGCTGCTTCGAAAGGATACGAAAAATCACAGATCGAAGATGAAGCGCTAAGTCGTGGCTTGGCTTCTGCTGCCAGGCATCGATACGAAAAGGGTGAATTTCAAGACCAAAAAGTTATCGAGCGAGAGGAACCCATCGTGTCACCCGGATCAACCAAAGAACAAATGAAGCAATTTCAGGAAGCGGCTTCAAATCAGGGACCGAGAAGGCGAACCATGGACAACGAGAGAGAAGAACTAGAAGCTGCCCGTGGTGTAGCTCTTGCCGTGAAAGCCAGCTACGAGAAGGAAGGCGCACCTCATAAAGAAACCAAAAAAACTATCGCCGATGAAGATTTCTCCGCTATCCAAGGCCGTGCTAAGGAAACGACGCGAGAAATCGAGTCGGGCGGATTCATCAAAGAAGCACCCAAGATGGTCGACACTGAAGACTTCGGCGTTGCCCGTGGAGTCGCCAAGGAAACAACCCAGCGGATAGAAAAGGGAGAACTAATTAAAGGGGCGCACAAGATGGTAGAAGATGAAGATTTTTCTAACATCTCCGGCCTAGCTAAGCAGACAACGCAGCAAATAGAACGAGGGGAGATGATCAAAGAGGCACACAAGATGGTGGAGGACGAAGACTTCTCAGGGATCTCTGGAGTGGTCAAGGGAACCAGGCAACGGATTGACAGCGGCGAAATAGCTCAGAAAAAGACGGTCAGAAATTCAGATGCCGGTGATCTGATGGGAATTCAATCTGTGACGAGCAATCGTGGAGTGTTTGACCAAAACGGCGTTTGACTCTATCCAGGAAAAAACAGCAGGTTGAATAGGACCTTATTAATAAGTCACTGACCATTTAAAGACAAATGTCGGTTATAAAAGATTCATTTTAACCCTTTGTATATACAAACCAGAAACCTCGCTGGCTACGCTCCAGTGTCTGGAGTTAAAGTAAATTGCAATAGATTACGCTGCAAAACAAAATTGTTAACAAAATAACAACTCGCGAAGGAAAGATAAGGTCGTTGTGGGTTAAAATGATGATATGATTCAGCGTTAGCGTATATGTAAAAGGATAAATAAAACTAGATGCATTTCTAAGATTGTTTCTGGATAACGCAATATCAAATTTCACGAAAATGGCTCCCTCGGCCAGTAGGTGCCGACAAACTTATGATAAGTCAGCCCTACTTGAAAAAAAAAAAAGTACAAAATCTGTACTTGCACCCTTGAAATCACATAAGTATCGACAGGCTGATTAGAGTCTGTTTTTCAGAATCAAATGAGTGTAATTCAGGGATAATTGTTGCATTGGTAGGTGATTGAGCGTAAATTACAACTTATTCTTATTAAGTTTATCAATACATATTGTATTGAATGACAAAGTACGACAAAAGATTGTTATGATCTGATGTAATTTGATTTTTATAACAATAAATTTATTACACTTGTCTCAATGTCGATAGAATCAATGTTAACAAGGTCTCTTTTATGAGGTAGTTTGTTATAATCAACTTAGTTGATAACGTAAATTGGCTACCGTAAAGAGTTTCAAAGCTGACGTTTCGAGCGTTAGTCCTTTTCTCTTTCGCTCTGACGAAAGGGCTAAAGCTCGAAACGACAGCTTTGAAACCCTTTACGGTGGTCAATTTACGTTATCAAATCAGGTGCTAATACTAAATTACCCTGTTATATTCTCCTGCCGACGCAGCACCGCAGTTTCTTTAGTAACTTACCCCTTTTAAATATTTTCAACGTATCCGCACTATTTTGAGAAGGATTTTTTTATCCACATTCATAACTAATCGTATGAGTTCAGAGCGCTTTTTTAATTTAGTATCGCAAAAGGAATAACAACAGTCAAACAGAGCCAGTAAAAACACTATTAGTCTAGAAAATTGCGAAAAATTTTTCTAACCAATCAAAGAGCCCGGACTAGTAACGCACCGCCCATGCACGATAAGTCGAGAAGGTGGCGCGAATATTTTAGACCAAACCACGATTGGTGGAAAAAAAAGAGGCGCGAATTTTCTTAACCAATCATAAACCGAGAAACACAAAACCAATGTAATCTTGGATATATTTTCGATCACCGCTCGACTGAAACTGCTTTGGGGAATTGGGACCGTACCGTCATCTGATGTCACAGTTTTCGAAAATTTATTTTACTTGACATTTAAGCTAAACCGCTAAGCCGGTTATTATGTCATTTTCGATCACTGGAAAATGTCGCTCGATGATGGAAGATAGACCAAAATCGATAAAACAAGATATGATATGTCGTCAAATTTATAGCGAACTACCTGGACAAGGCTTGATATATGAATTAAATTCACTCGCATCGGAACGAGCTTGCCGCATCTCAGGCATTTTGCATGATTTTACCTAAAGCGCTCATCGGTTTCCGTGAAATTTTCCTTTTGTTCTTAGTAGCTGATCTTAGTTTTTTTCCAGGCCCTCTGTCAAGGAACGCCAATGAAATGGCAGGTTATCTACGCTAGTTAGTTTTAAGGGTAAACGGAGGATACACAAACTTGTTTAGTTTTGGTTTAACGGCGCCAATTTAAAAAGTGCACGAAGACACCAGAGGGAGAGTACAGGTTAAAAGGACTTTTACAGAGGGGCTTGTAAAAATATTGCCATGAACGACACAACAACAGCAAGAACAAAAACCCAGATACAGATATGGTTCAGCACCAGGGCTGCCTTTCTCCACTCGTCCTGCCTCGCTTCCAAAATCATCTGGTGGCGTATATTATCCGCAAGAATCCTATTGGTGCTCTTCTTGTCATCTGGCACGTGATCATGACTGCTGCCGCTCTTTGACTGGTTACTCATTTTTATGTCCTTAGCAACAAGAGTTTCTTTATCATTTACTGAAAAGAAGAAGGTAAACTTCTTAATTTTACAATGACGCAATTATAACGATAGAGTTACTCTTGCTATAACAATTCTTGAATTTTGAGAAATTATGCCTTTAGTAGCTGGCATTAAATGTATGAGTCAACTTTTTTGCACTGAGATGAACTCCCTTCAATTAAATGCCATTTTGGCCAATTGAGGGTAAATAAAGAGTTAACAAAGGGTAAATTTGTCTTCCATAATCATGTTTCCTAATGTCCCCAAAAAACAGAAGCTTTCGGTCTTCAATCTAGAGCCATTTAAACGACCTTTAAACACTTTGGATAGGAAGAGGAATGTTTATTTCAACAAGACAACGCCTTTAAACGAAGAAAGTAAATGGGATATGAGAACATGTATTTACACACAAAACTCAAGGCGTCACCTCTTCCTCAAATACTGATTAGTACTCTCTGCACTTAAATATTTTGCAATAAAAATGTCATTACTTTTATGACCAGTAATACTTTCTGCCGAAGACACATCGACGTCCTGACGGGAGTCACCATGTGGGTTGCTGGTCTCGAAATTAAAGCGAAAAAGCTTCGCTCCATAACCAAGCAGATAGACCTGGGTATTCGAATAAAAAAAACTGATAACAGGAAGAAATGAGACGAGACATTTGTAGTTATTATTGTTGCATTCCCACGTGGTATCTTTGTTTTGTTGTCATTCCTGTGCTTTTTGCCGTTTTCGTTATTGTTTTCGTCGTTTATACTGTAATTACTGATGGCAGTGATAATGCTGACGACAAGTACCATGACAGTCTTGATGATGATAATAATGATGATAAAGATAACACATGATCGCGACGATGACGATGAAGATAGGAGAAAGACAAAGACTTAGTGACATAAAAATGACAATGAAAAGGACAGTGTCAGTTATAAAGACGATGAGAATGATAATGACGATTAAAGTGACAATGACGATGAAAGTGACAATTTCATTAAGGTGACAATGACAGTGACAATGAAAACGGCGACAACGATAACGATGACGGTAGATTGGGATGACGATTATTCAAGATGATAATGATGAACATGTCAATCAGGAAAGCCCCACCTTGACCCATCTAGGGACTTCTCCATCCGTCGGGTTATGATGGTGAAAGCGGAGAACCCAACACGTCATGAAGAAGGCACAGGATACCTCTATCATAGTCACAGTGTAGTACATTCCCACCAGAGGTACTGCTTCAGACGTGGCAGGCATGTTTTCAGCGACGAGAAGGAAGAAGAAACTTAAGCCCACGAGAATCGCCATGCCTGATAAAATGTTATATAGCCAGTAGTCAGTATAAAAATGTTAAAAAAGAGGAACAGAGGGCTAGCGAAGGACTTACGCCCGAAACTTCCTTTTTAGAAACTCTTTATGGTGGACAATTAACATTATCAACTCAGTGGATGAAAGCAAATTATCTTATTTAGATTAGAAACGGTCAGCAGCAAGCTTGACTACCCACGCAGTAAAGGCTCTAAAATGGAAGCTCAAACAAAAAAGAGTTCGGTTCCAAACGAGATGGAAAGGAGAGAAAATTCAAGAAATCAGACAAAAACAGAAAAGATTGAGAGGAACACAGATACTGAAAGAATAGAATTAGAGGAACACGACAAACAACGAATTTCAGCGATAGAGTAGCACCCCAAAAAGTACAGCCTTACCAACTGTCATTCTCTCGTTGCAGTCGGGAGGTAGCAGGAACACCAACAAAGTTAGAACAGAAATCATTGCGCAGGGTATTATCAAATACATAACATGATACAACGCTCTCCGCTTAATCTGCACTTTGTATGTGACGTCATCATACGGCGCAACACAGCAGTCATAAAAGACGGAGTGAAACTCCCCTGGAACTCCCAGTAGTTCCCATGCCACGCTAGGTGAGTATTCGCTCAGATCTGCTGAAGAGTTCTGAGGATGTAAAGAAAAATATGCAGCTAAGAAAAAATATCACTGTTTCTTCTCTTTCGCCGGCTGTAAATAGATAATTTTGCTTGTGTGCAATCCCCTATGCCTTAATCACCGGAAGGTTCGAAAGCTAAATGCCGTTACTTGGCTTCTAAAATTAATCTGAAGCATACCTCAAGTTCCAATGCAATTCCAAAAGAGTCGTATGTCCAGGAGCCAAATTTCAGCTTGCATTCTTGCTGGTCAAAAGGGTAATACTTCACATGAATCTTGCAGCTACTCTTGATGATAGTTGGTACGTTCAGGCTGACTAGCCCCTCTTCTGTGATAACAGCTTTAGTTCGCCTCATACCGCTACCAAAACCTTCCCCGACACTAAAAAAATTATCGGAATGATAGAGTTATCACAAAGAAGTGTTATGCTCAGAAGGCGTAAAGGCTGGCTGTTTTACCGATCAGTAAAGTATGTAATCTAGATAGTTATGACCTCGACATCAAAAGAAACGAATCTCTACCATAACCCGAGGCTGTCTGGTGAGAGACGAGCTCAATCGTCACTCCGGAGCTATCCCTGCTCTTAAGGGTTGAATGGAGAGGCCTTATCATTTCTCTCGTAAATATGCCAGCACAAAACTAAACAGTCTTTCGGTAAAGTTTCATGGAATTTCCAACATAGACTCAAACCTTGCCAAAGAAAAAACAATCACCGGAAAGGGCGGAGTAGGGAGGTAGATGAAACTTTTTCCGAATATCTGAGAGGACAAGATACAAAGGAAAGTATCCGCTATGCGAAAAGCGCGAAGGCGGAGCCTCTATACTAAAGAAAATATGCGAAACAAATCAAGTTGATAAAAATTCGGTGTTCGCGTATTGTCTGTGAGTCTGCAATACGTTCGTAAATCTTTCCATCCAAGGGTCCATCCATGCTCACTGTTGACTGTTAAACTGAGTGTGCTATACATTATCTTTGTAGGGGGTTCATGTTTAATAACGCGATCACAGCGTTCTGTCAGCGAAGAAACAAGATAGTATCAAACAGTTGCGCGAGTAGAAGTAAGTGCATCAAAACAATGAACCACCAAAACTACATGAGGGTGGATCGCACATAAGATTTCTTTCCAGAAATGAAGCGCATGGGTGTATTTTAAGAAGTAAGACAACTTTAATGGACTACTGTTCTACGGTAAAAATTGAAAATCCAGGTGAACACCAGACATATTTCACCAAGTAAAGTTCAGCCTCTAGGCATGGCCATCTTAATATGCTGGTGAAATGACATTACACTATTGGGTAAATAAAATCAATCCCTCTTGTTAGAAACCACTCGTAATGTTCTTAAGTACTAAGAAAGCCTTCCTCAAAGCACTTCATCCGAATTAACTCACCTTCGTCTCATACACTTACTTTTCATACAACACTACATCCGGGATCCATATCAGTTTTGGATCGACACTTACGTACTTCACTCCACCATACTTTGAAGAATTCCATCTCAGCTGCGGATCCATCCAGTACTAAAACATATTAAAGTAGTGGCAGGTATGGTTATTCAAAACATGCGGGGAAAATCTTAACGTTACTTTGGTGCAAAAGTTATGGTTATGGAGAAGAAATTCCCGGCTGAGGGTAGAAGTCAGCACTTGTTATCTTCGTGAATTTAACCCTGAGTGAAAAATTAGGAGAGGACCTCTTCGCTCAGAAACTTCCAAAGGAAATGACGCTTGTCACATTGGGATCCTTTTAAACCAAATTCTCAGAGCTAAAACTATAAGAAATTTATGACCGATATTATTAATATTAGATACATTGACCTTCGTGGTGAAAGGATCAATTCTGAAGTAAACCTCGCAATTTTTACGAGGAACTCTTTGTCCATCGCACATGACTCGCACGCAATACATGTTTAAAAAAACATATTTCCTTATTTGACAGGCTGTATATAAATTGCAGGAGCAGCAAGAAATCACATACCTCTCTTATGTCTGCTCGTGTAAGGAGAAGCTGATTCTGGTCATCCTGCAAGCATATTGCAAAACCACAAACATTGGAATTTTCATTTACGGACAATCTAAGTAATTAAACCTTCTCGCAGGCTACTCAGACCTCTGTGCTGGACAAAACCTAGTAAAAGGTACCTTGTTGGCAAAAAACAGCTTTGCGCCGAAATGTCATAGCTGAGCTGGCTGGCTGCGGTACAATTAAACGCCCGTGGGCTGTGGCACAACTGCTACACAAAACAGAGCTAAATAGGAAGAGTTTTTTCGTTGCCTCATGTCCCTGATGGAAAGAAGTGGAGTGAGCAGGCTACTCAGTACTCACCAGGTCTTCGATCTTTTTGACGACTAATCCAAACTTTACAGTAACTGGATCCTCACTTCTGACAACTGGTCTGATCCGTCTGTCGTACTTCTCAGGGTTCAGCAAGTCATCAAGAAGGTGCTGCTCTCGTTTATTACCTGTTGAATTTTGCGCTTGGAGACCTAAAAAATAGTACTAATTGCATAATCTATAGGGAGAGGATTGTCGAAATGGTCTTACTTTTGGTCTGCCTTAGCCGAGGGGGGTGAATTCCGAACGGTGTGTATTGCCTCTTGAGAAGCTGTTTGAATTCATAAATCTGACATCTAAAATGTAAACAGTTGGAAATTTGTTACAGATTCATCAAAGCATATGCTGGTGGTGGCACACTTTATGTTATGCCACTCAAAATACACATGGTTCAGTGACCTTTCATCATTCATCGCCTTGTCGGGGAGGGTTGGTCGGAGGATTTTGGTTGTGGCACGATAAATTACCCCCCCCCCCCCCCCCCTCATAAGCATTTAATTGAGAGTCAATTTTCTTCAGTCCTTTATACTCTGTTGGTGACGACTAATCCCGCCTCCATTTCCCCTGAAAACCATGTAATCCTCCAAGCGATCAATTATAAATGGTCCGTTAAGCATACAGACAGACTAAAGGAAGCAATCAGTGTCCCTCTGCACTCTACGTCCGATAACTGAGCCATCGTTTCCGGAACCGAAGAACATCCATCGGCATCACCTGGAGACGGCCAGTACAATTCAAATTCTAAATTTTCGTTTCAGCTTCGAACAAAGTTAGGCTTAACACAGTAGTCCAGCTTAATCACACTAAATAAGAACGGCAAGTCACTTGGATTTCCCATTGAAAACTACCGACAAACTATCGTCCATAATGAAACCCACTACTCTTCCATAACGGCGCTAATATCTATCATGATTTACATTTTTTTAAATTTGTTCTTAATCAAATCCTACCTTCAACAATGACGGACAAAGACAGAATCAATAATAACATTTGCGCAGATTGAAAACATGTAGCCATGAGGATTAAACTTTTGAATAACGGAAAGAAATGAACGGTTCTACGAAGCAAATCATAATTAGTTTTCACATTCTCATATTTCGTTGTGAATGTGCTCCCTCCGTTTGGCCTCTTGCCAATTTGGCGGGTGGCTTTCAAGTTTGGCGACATTGTCAAGAGACAGGAAAAGCAATAAGCTTTCATGATTTCATTTTTCCACTTACAAGCTTATCTTTATTTCGCAGATAATTCGCTTATCTCCTCCAAGTTTGATTTACTTTTTTAAGGTAGGAAGCTCGTCAAGTTCTTATTGGAGTTCTGAATGCTCAAAACAGGCCGATAAATTATCGATTGGTACCGAACCATATTTGATTATCGATAGACTGTTGACACAAACAGGTGCCTTTACAGGTGGCATCAGATCCTTTTACGTCTTCGTATTATTTTGCTTCGTCAAGTTTATCCACTGCGGAAACTTGTTTGCTAAGGGCGTGTTAAAAATTACCTTGTCACCACTTACAAACTGTGTGTGGTTCTCTGTTATGCTTGAAGGAGCGCTGCTATGCCATAAAAGCCTACCAGCCATGATATCGTAGAATATCGGATGGAAAGATTAAGCAATGGTTAAATTTCCAAGACAGAATTTTATAATAATCTCGCAGTAACTCTGTTGGATAATTAATTTTGAACATGGCATCTGTCGAAGTGGAGAAACTTTCAGAGCACCTTTTGAAATGTCCGATCTGCCTGGAGACGTACACGATGCCCAAAGTTCTTCCCTGCTTGCACACTTTTTGTCAACATTGTTTACATGGGCTCATCAACAGCGGAGAAAACACCATCATTTGTCCGACTTGTCGATGCGAGGTTTCCGTCCCTAAGGAAGGCGTCGGAGCACTGTCAACCAATTTCTTCATCAACAACATGTTGGATTTTCTCTCCGTTGCGAAGAGCAACTCCAACCCTGTTGTTTGCTCAAATTGCGACGAGCAGAACAGGGCAACTTCCCGATGCATTGAGTGTATGGAGTTTCTCTGTTCGCAGTGCGTTGCAGCTCATCGCAGAACGCGAATGACCAAAGAACACGAAGTTATCGCTTTGGGTGAACTACAGTCGCAGAAAGAGGTTCAGGAAAAGTTACACAGACCCTTGCTTTGCACGGTTCATGAGCGGGATGTATTGAAGTACTTCTGCGAGACGTGCGATGAGCCTGTTTGCCGCGAATGTCTTATCATTGATCACAGAGAACACCATTATGGTTATTTAAAAGATGTGGATAAAAAACATCGGTCAGAGGTAAGAAATTATCCGTAAATCTCGTTGCTAACAGCACGCTAATAGCGTCTTTAATTTGCCATAGGCAAATGGTAAGACGCAATTATCCAGTCTTTGTTGCGACGGAATGCGTGAACTATTTGCTTTGTTATTGACTGAAAATTTCTGTGAGTAGAGGAAAGCTTAAGTTCTTACGTTACATTATGATTAAAGGTTTTATTCAATGGGATAAAGCTACATTAAAATCATCAAGAGCACTAATACTTCGGCATTCAGCTTTTCAGTCGTATTTGAAAATGTTGGCTAACCTAATTTAAGACGTAGTACGTAGGTTGAGCAGAAAAAAGAAATTAGACTTTCTACATTTTGTAAGACTAGCATCTCTATTATTACTGTTGTGTACTAAACTCCTTATCGGCGAAGTCCTTCGCGCGAATTAAACTAAAATTGATGTTAGCGCGCCACGCGGAGCTCCACGAATTTTTTTTCACTTGCGCGACGAACTTCGTCTAAAAGGAGGGACTGCTTGTTGTCTAGCTGTTTATACTAGACAAAATTCATTTGTTATTTCAGTTTTTCTTTTTTTGCTGGTTGCGCTGTGATTAACCCAAGGATACTCAATATTGGCGACGGTAATTAATTTCTCAACCACTAAGTAACTACTCTAGGCGAACAGAATGCCATGAATATTGTTTTTAGTGCATTTAAGGGTTTTGGTATCATTCGAAACCTGGCTCTTTTTTCCCACTTCTTTTATGTCGCTGTTCAGTTCAGGATCTTAGGCAGATAATTTTCTCAGAGATTTTGCACAGTGTGAGTTGTTTGTCGCAGCGTGAGTATGTTTCTTTGTTACATGTATTTATTTTGTTTAATTCATCGCTTCTTTATTCCAGGTTGGAGTTCTTGTTATGAATACTAAAAAACGAATAGCCCCTTTGAAAGAAGCTATTGAAAAAGTGTCAGAAATGAAACAGAAACTGGACTGCAAACTGGAAGAAGTTCGACAAGAGGTTATCCAAAACTGCAAACGATGCAGAGAAGTTGTTCAAGAAAGAGAAGAGGAAATTCTCACACAGGTTAATAACATCTACCGGATGAAATCCAAAACGCTGGAAATCCAACTGGATGAACTCGAAATGATGATGGGAAATCTAAACAGTAGCATAGATTTTACTGAAAGTCTTCTTCGGCACGGAAACGAAGCAGAGGTGATGCTGGTCAAAAAGCAAATGACACAGCGATTACAGGACTTAAACAGCGTCAAGTTGGAGTACCTACCGCTGGAAGATGACCTCATTGACTACAAGTTCTCTACCGACGAGTTTAGAAAGGCCCTCGAGTATATTGGCGAGGTGAAGGTTTACCATGCGTACCCGCCATATTGTTTTGCAACCGGCGTGGGAATCCATCGAGCTAAGTCTGGCGTGGAGGCAGTGTTTCTTGTTACAACGAAAGACAGAATGAACGAGGTATTCAGTGGCAGAGGGGAACCAATCAGAGTTCAGATTGATCCACCCGAGGGAGATCCCGTCCCGAGTAAGTACTTGAACAATCTTTTAGCACATGCGCTTTCGTGTCAAGTAATTGAAAAGAAGGATGTCAGCGAGCTCTGATAGGAGATAAAGCGCAATAAAGACCATATAATGTAGGACAAAAAGCAGTTCATAGCTGTGTCTACCACTGATTTAGTTTGTTTAGTTGTAAAGCAGGTAATTTTTTTTATTTCTCGCAGCATATGTGATTGATAACGAAGACGGCACCTTCACCATATCCTATCAACCGACAGCACGAGGACTTCACCAGATCCACATAACCATGCGAAATATCCACATCAATGGGAGTCCTTTTAGTGTTAACGTGACGGGAAGAATGGACTTTGGAAAAGTTGGGAAAGTCATGGCGTGCTTTGGCTGTGAGGGAGCTGGGGGAGGTAGGATTTAGCACGGGAAGGGGGAGGTGAGGGGCGGCTATGGGAGGGAGAGGGAAGTTGGCTATAAATGAAGATGGATAGACTGCAGCCTCGTTTTGATACTTCATGGCGCCACATGTCCAACAGACCCACCGATGTGACCACCCCCTTCCTCTCCATATAAAATATGCATATATAAACGCTTTTAAAGGCTTTTCTTTCCTTTTCTATTTAATTTTGTTTTACTTTTCTGGGGGGGAGGGTGGGGGACAAGGAACGGGGGGAAAGTGGAGGAAAGTGCACTGCGGGAAATGAGGAAGTGGTGAGTTGATTTCTTTTAGCAGTTAATAGCTCTTTTTATAAAGAAGAAAAACTGGGCATTTATCATGTGTAAACCTTCAGAATTGCATCTGTATTCCTACGATCTTTTATGACAGGGGAGTTCAATATGCCTTGGGGTGTCACCATAGACGACGAGAACAACCATCTCATTGTCTCCGACTGTAACAACCATCGAATTCAGGTGTTCGACTTTGAGGGAACGTTCATGTTTAAGTTCGGCTCGGAGGGTACGGATAAGGGGCAATTCAGGTACCCCAAGGGTGTGGCCCGCGCTCCTAACGGCCACATAATGGTTGCAGACTCCAACAACCATCGAGTTCAAGTATTCAACGAGGACGGTCGATTTATCAGGAAATTCGGCAGCTTCGGAATGGAGCGACCAGGCCTCCTAAACCATCCGTGTGGCGTGGCGTGTACCCCTGGGGAACTGGTGATAGTAACGGAACAGGATAATCATCGGGTGCAATTATTTAACGTGAACGGGGAGCCCGTGCGACAGTTTGGAACGCAGGGGTTTTCAAAAGGACAGTTTATATACCCTCATCACGTGTGTGTGAATCAGCGAGGGAGGATCATTATAGCCGATTGTGTCAATGATCGAGTTCAAGTGTTTGATTTGGAAGGGAAATATTTATCTGACTTTGGAAAAGAAGGTAAGCTCTTGACATGTTTCAAAGAGAATTTTCTCCCCAAAGCATTTTCCGCCAGCAGAATGAATTTTTCCCCCTAAAAATCTTGCCTCAGTTCAAAGTTACGTCCCCTTCCTGGATGCTTCCCTCCAAAAACATGGATCCTCCTAAAGGCTGGCCGCAAATAAGATATGCGTTTCTCCCTGACGGTTGAATCAAGTGAAGTGTACTTCTCTGTTGGCTCTGTTAGAGTCAAAATTGATATCAACGGTGTCCTTCGTTCAAACTTCCCTTTCAAAAGTTGTAAATTGCTTAATGCAGTCTAGCTAAAGTTTGCATAACATTATTCAATCAGACCTGACACAGTAATTATTACAAGGAAGTAATGGAAGCTAAAAGCAAAAATGAGAAAATTTCCTGAAGCGCGGGAATCTTGGATTGACCAGGTTGTGATTGCTTTTAGATCGTGTCTGATTGGTCAAGAGAATAGCACGAGTCAGTTTTCTCGACCAATCACAGAGAAAGTAAAGGATAACCATTTCAATCCTGGAGTATTAGCGATACTCGAAAAATTTCCTACTATTCCTTTTGCAGGATCACAAAACGGCTTATTTGACGGCCCCGAGGGCGTGGCCTGCGATGACGAGGACAACATCCTAGTGTGTGACTATCACAATCACCGGGTGCAAGTGTTCAATTCTAATGGCGAGTTTGTCAACGCGTTTGGTGCATACGGTGAAGACGAAGGGTGTTTTAAGAATCCGTGTGGAATTGCCATAACGAAAGAAGGCAACATCGTTGTGGCTGATAGTGGAAATAATAGGATTCAAGTCTTTTAGATCCCACGATGACGATCTGTTTATGTCTAAAGGGATAATTTTTACCGCCAGTTGTACTTTTTTTTATGGAGGGTGGGAAAGGATGGAGGTCCACCCAAGTCTGATATCGACTGATACGATTTCTTTTCATCCACTACCTATCAAAACTTTTTACTGAAACGCGATGTTGCCCTCCAATTCGCGGAAAATATGTAAAAATAAATAAAAGGCTAGGAATTGATCTCCCGTTCTAGAGAAGTTCATCTTAAAAAAATAACGGTTTCGTAGCCTTTGAAGACGCGCGATTCAGGAGAAAACAAATCACAAAGAAACAGCTTTCACAAATCATAAAGTGCTCTATCCAATAACTACCCAGTTTAACGAATATCCCCTCGTCGGCTTGACGTAAACAGGTCAACGGAATAGCTCTTGCATATCTACATTTAGCCTCACGTGTTATGGATGTTCAATTCTGGCAATCTTTTGCAACATTTCAAACATTTAGAATACATTGTTTCTAGAATTTAAATAAAAAAATGGGGATGTGGTGAACGCTTGTAAGATTTTTTTGACAGTCAATCTCATCATCCAAGAATATTGCAACTTCTTCCTCGCAACTTTCAGCCAAAGTTATCTTCTTTGATTAGTGGGCCAGTGGTTCCTAACATCATCTTCTCGCAATAAGGGACAGAAAAACATGAGACCACCAGGAACCAGGCTCACGCAGCCCCGTGTGAATAAGCGTTATTGAACACAGTTGTACATGTAGCTTGTATATAAACTGTTACTTTGAATTTTTTATTTCTTCTCCTCTCCTTGTAAATATTTACAAAACATAATTCCTTTTTACTGAACTACATATAAGCTTGGTAATAAAATAAACTGTTATTTACCAAGCGACAACTTTGAGGTACACACTGTCCAATGAGATTTCTGACCAAGAAGCATAGAGAAGATTACTACTGATTAACACAAGATGAGATACTACACAACAAAGCCTTCTTAATCAATCTAAGTTATACTGTTTTCCTTTTGTTTGAAATTATTTTGCAATAAAAGAATGATTAAATATTGTTCTACACATAATGCAATAAAGAACAATCCACAAGAGATATCAAGGCAAACAACCATCTTGTTTTGGAAAGACCATGTTCGTTTGAATGTTTACCTTATTGAATGCTGTTCAGTTTAAGAAAAGAAGCGAAAACTTCATGTATGTTGTTTAAGATTGTTCCAGAATTATATAACATTCCATTCTCTCACATTTTTGAAAGAAAAAAATAGTTTAGAGTAATATTATAGAATCATCTTATCAAATGTGATGTTTTAAGAAAATTCTTAAAAGTGCATGATATTTCCTCATATTGTGACTGGTTTTTCACTGCCATAGAATTGGTATTCAGTGTTGTACATCCGTGGAACTCGGAACGTCTCTCCAGGGCCTGGGCCTGAGAAAATGATAAAGAATAAATGTGAGACAAGGGTCTTACATTCATGTGCTCCTCCTTTAAAAAAACAACAACAACAAGACCAAAAGCAAAGAGGAACGTTTTGGACCATCCTCCTTAAGATAAACAAAAACTAAAAAGTTAGTAATAATGTAAACGACAAAAAAATTTAACTCCTTACTTTCAAGAGGTGCATGCCAAGGTTTTGGTACATTTAAGGTAAATAATTCCCATCTTTTCCTCTCAGGAGGCATGGTGTAGGACTCACTCATCAGTGTCTTCATTCCCCTAGAGATGGAACAAAAACATTCCACAATTTAACACACTGGCTGGTAGTCAGGACTGTTGATTTCCAAAACATTGGCAGAGTGTCAGCAGAAAACAATGCACTTGTAGGTTTGAAAATTTTCTAAGTGCTCATTCATTCAAAACTGCAGGGAAATATCATTTGATCAGTTCACCAGATTCCAACTTTTTTTTCCTTCATTCTGCACTGTTTGAAATTATTGACAATATTCAAGCTAACGAGTTTTAAAATTTTTGCATGTATTTTGTTCCTTAGGTAATTTCAGCCGCACTTGATCTTCTTGGTCAATATCTTTTGGATCAATATCAGTATCTGCATGGCAACTGCCCACCTACCCCTCCCCTAACTCAAAAATAGTCAACTGACAACAATTCAAGGTTAATGTTGGGTTAGGGGAGGGGTGGGTGGGCAGTTACCCAGATACTGATATTGATCCTATCTTTTTAACTCTCTATAATGATCACCATCACCATAGGCAAGGTTATCACAACACTTAAAGAAGCACACTGGCCTCTGCATCCTTTTTTGTGAAGAATAAAATAAAAGGCATTTGCTGCAACAACTTCCTCTTGACTTTGTGAATATTGCTCATTATATCTCTCAACTTGGCCTTGAGGATTATTAATAGATAATCAAAATATTAACTATTTCACTTAATTGCTGTACATTTCAGCTCCTATCTTACTTATTTGGTACAGGCTCCAGTGACTTTGGTAGCCTGGGGATAGTGGTTGGTTCTCTGAACCAGATACGGTCCCTCATGGGTCCTTTTTCTCTGGGGACTGAATTTAGGGGTAGAGGATTTTCTTTTGAGCCATGACCCCAGGCTTTTGTGTACTCTTCGCATTCCCAATAAGTTGCATAATCTTTGGCTGGGTAACGTCCCAATTCATGCCTGTTTTGAGGAAGAAAAAAGACATGTCAGAAGGTAGCTGTTACTTTTAATGCCATAAAAATGCCTAAGACTGCTCATAAGCCAAGAAGCTCATACAACTCATGGGGCTTTAACCTGGTTCAAATAATCAAGTGTCTTGACAGTATACTGCAAAATGGCCAAGATGGCCGTGTGGAGCACACATGTAGATGTGATTTGTCCCTTCACTCCTTGCAAAAAATCAAAAGATCTCATCCTGGAGCTCAGCTTTAGGTCAAATTTCCAAGATTGAGGAGGGTATTCAGGGTTATAGCCAAGAAATTAGGCTGAAACTCCAATGTTCTCCACGAATTCTCCTTGCTAACATGAAAGAACACAAAAAGCAACCCCACTTTAGAACCTTTGAAATCTGTTGAGGTCCAGCACCCCCAAAATAATGCCACTATATGTCTCCCACTTAATAATCTATTTTACAGTTGTGTGCTTGGTTGCCAAGCCTTTGAACAGGAATGAGGCTAAGGGTGACCTTGTTATGATACAAACCTTGCTGCTTTTCAAATGCAAATTACCTTGATATCATGCTAACTAGATACTGGTCTCTATCACAACAAGATCACCTTCAGCCTCACTCCAAATCAAAGGCTTGGCAACTAAGTACACAACTGTAAAATGGCCTATTATTTTTTTAATGTACTGACTGTAATACAATTTAGATTAGACTGCAACATACATATCATCGACAAATAGCCATCTCATATTATTCATATAAGCTTGGTAAACAATCAAATTTTGCTTACTTAGTGAATGCTCTGTGATCTCTCTGTGTTGTAGTAAGATAAGGATCCATGTGGTAAGTCAGTACACCTCTGTCCCTGGGGTAAAACTTCTGCCCTGTTATCCCTCTGTTTATTGTTGATGGTACCAGATCCTTTAAACAGAAATATTCATTTATCAAAAACCAGTATATATACATTTTCACAGGGCATAATGTCTTAAATAATAAACAAAATTTAAAAAACTTAAATTTGGAATAAAAGAAATAAAAAAATTTGGCAATAATCAACAGAGAGTCTTGCTATCTTAGAACTTTCCAAGGACTCCATTGCTTTATGAATACATGTTTGTGTACATATTTGAACATACAGATACACTAGGAGTTCTAATTTGATGAGATTCAGGATTATGATGATTTTGTTTTTTATTCAGTTTAATAATTAAAACAGATATTTGATCACTTAACTGCAAAAACTGTATTCAGAACAAAAACAATAAAAAAAGTGCCAATACCTTACTGTTTCCCTCCCTGTGGTGATCAGCAAGGTTAAATGGTTGTATCCCTGCATTATAAACAGTGTCAAGATTAACTCCTGGTCTCCCTGTGTACTGAGACATCATTTCACTGCACTGGTTTCCCATTGTCAGAGGTCTTCTCCAGGGCTTCACACTCAACTATTCAAGAAAAATATATGATATAATGCAACTAAAACAATGCTGTGATTTGAGCTGCATAGATACTGCTGCATTATCTCTACAGACCGTGTCCAGACTGAGCCACTATCATTTCACCCTTGTGAAAAAATCCAGTTACAAAAAAAGAGGCTTAAGTCCAAACTTTAAAAGAATGTATTACATTTGTTAAATGAACCACAGCATTTGGCTGAAACAAAAACTCTGACACTTCTTAAAATTCACCAAAAAGAGGTAACAAATTTGCAGGAACAAAAACTGAAAAACAACTAACTAACAATTCTATAGATCACATGACAAAAGTATGTGGAAAATGTCCACATCAGGAAAGAGATTTTAACACTTAATTTTTAACACATTAATTAATCACCTTTCCAATATTATCTTCTACATAATGAACTTTCCATGATCCTGGAGCCTTCTTGAACTGTGAGTTACTCAGAATTCCACCATGTGCCTTGTAGTCATGAGTTGTACCAGTGGTTGTTTGAAAGTTTTCCCTATCAGTAACGTAATCTGGGTTTGTGAGGACAGGTGGTAACACATCATAAACAGTTCTCTGAGATGCAAGGGAAGAAATAATATTCAGATCAATTTTCCTCACAAGATATTCAAGAAATTAAAGCTTGATATTTAACCATAAAATAATATTTTCAGTGTTAAAAGATAAAAAAACAGAGTGAGTTACTTTGGAAGTACTCTTCCTCTCATGGAAAAATGATGTTTCAAAGTCAATAAAGAGGGTCCCCTTATGCTTTTTACATTAAGTGTGATAGGGCCATTTTTTTGCTGTGAATTGTGATTTGATTTTTGTTACATAAATGAACGATACTTAACCAGGATAAGATCTTTTTACATCTATGTGACCAGTTTTATGGCTTATGGCAGTTATGTGGCTATTTCATTATTTTGAAAATGTAAAAGTATATTTTTCATGAACTGCTAGCTATGATTAAGTTTTGACAAGGGTTTCCACCAAAGATGGACTCCACATGGATAAACTATGTCATTAAAATTGAACACTGGTAGTTCTTGAAAAAATGAGATAAGACATCACATTATCTTTTTGTCGTGTAAACCTGTTGAGCTTAGAAAAAGTAAATTATTAATTCAATGTGATTGCCTCAAATTTTGCGTGAGGCAATTACATTGAATTAATGATGATGATGATGATGATGCATGAAAAGGCCCATTATTTTAAAATAACTGAGTTTAACCAAGGGGTGTAGGAGACTCTCATTAAATTAGACCAAACATATATTTACTTTTCATCTTTTCTCTCCCAGGAGTGTCTGCCTAATTCTTAACCTTTTATATAACTCCTAAGATCTGATTGTTAATTCTACCCACTAGCTGCTAAACATTTCCTTGCGAATTAGTTACAAGAATTTGGTGTTAGATCAAGATGACAACTTCAACCTGATAAGTCTGAGTATTCTCATTACCTTTTTGCTGGATAATGTATGGATATTATGGGGAGAAGTTACAAGTCAATCACTTCTGGGAGTTAAAGGGTTAAGCAAAAGAGTGATGGGGAGATGTCCATCAACTATGAGATTTATTTCCATTTAACACCAAATTATCAGAGCTAAGAATAAAAGAAATGTATGGCAGACAGTGAGGAGGGAGAAACGATAGAACCGAGATCTTGGAGGGGAGGGGGGGGGGGGGGGGGAGGTAAGGGATGGGAATGTAAAGAGAGGGAAGCATGCATCCTAAGACCGCTCTAACGAATCGTTCTGATCTCAAGCAGTTAATTTTTGTTATACATCGGCCTATCGTGGACATGATTTCGTATATTCACAGTACATGCAGATTCAAACCGGGAATGAAGTGAATCGACATAACTAAACACAAATGTTTACAAGTAAAATCGTACATAAAAGACTTCAAGCCAAAGAATGATTCAAGTCATGATACGATGTGGTTATGATATGAGATGACATTCAAACTGAAGATATAGAAAACTCATCAGAGAAAAATCAGTGAAAAACTTACGCGGAATCCTTGAGGTGGGAAGCCGTGTGGAGACCTATAGTAATGTCCTTTTCCTGTCGATGTCAAGTGAAGATCGTCTCGAACTTCTGAGGCCATCGCGGATAAAATTGACTTATGTCGGTGAGAATAACAGGAGAAAACACTGAGTCGTCTATTAAGATTAAAACTGGTCTTAAATCGGTAAAAAAAACAGAATTGTTTGTAAAAATTTCTGTAGGACGCGACCGTGTTACGATAGTTGCACTTTGTTGCCAATCGAATGTTGGTTGTCAAGGGAGCGCGCGCGTCTATTAGTGATAATCCGCTGGCTAAAGGAATACGGGCGCTAACACCTATGGAAGCGGGTTTGGACGTCGCTAATTTTGGGATAATTCGTTTTTTTCTTCTTTTTTTCGTCGATCAATAAACTAAATATTATGAGTATTTGGACACTTTTTATGAAAAGCTTCCCCCCATGACCTCCCATCACCTAAAATTGCCAAAAAAACACGAAATGCAGGATTGACCGGAGTAAACTGGACACTAAAAATATTCGACAGAGGAAAACTGGATTCTTTATACAATGAATGCCTGGCGATATTTGAGCGAAGACCAGCTATGCCAACAGTCGTTTGAAGACAGGCCAGAGCCCACAACTAGAGAAGAAAATCGCAATGTGGATCGACTCTTTGGTAAGTCTTTTACATTTTCTTTTTATTTGGCTATCACTCGAAGATGATTTTTTTGTGCAGAAGCACGGATAGGGGTGTTCTTGTCGGAGCATATACAAGCTCAGGGACTAGCTACAGGCGTCAGCGATATGTTTTAAGAGATGTGGAAACAACCTTTTCGAAAAACTTAATCCTTATACTTCCGCAAATGAGTTGATGTAGTCCAGGGAGGTTGATGTATACCGAGGAAGTATGGCTTTGCGTTGTTGTGTTATAAGAGACTCAGCGAACCCGTCGCGAGAAATCGACTAATATATGCCTCCATATTTGACACGGATGGCTTCGCTACTCTGTGGAAATAATCGATTATGAGGCTTTCAAAAACTTGATATGATCCTAAATTATGTTCCTATTCGAATCAATAACTGCCAAATCGATAAAACCTGGCACTGCTTTCATGGGAAATGCAGCATTACAGCGATTGTAACTGTATAGGAGGCAATGTGTAACGCAACGTATAGTTAACACTTTGTCAGGGTATGGCATGCCCTACAAGATCTAAACATTTTTGGATGTTATTGGACCACAAAACAGGAAATTTATATCAAGGACAAAACAGAGAAAGAAGTTTTATTAGTCTTGCTCTATTTTTTTACCAGGCTCAAAGCTTAATCACCATCCTTCTTATTGTATTTACAAGAACAAAACAGTTTAATAGAGCAAACAACAGAACAATACAGCAGACCATGAGGTCTTTGTCAAATGCTTCTGGGTAATATAATTATGTCACACAACAACATCCACAGGTGTAGAAAAACATTATACCAAGCGAAGAGTAGGTAAAAAGTGCCTTTGGCAAATAGGCTATAGCCTGAAACATAACACATTTTCTATCTTAGAAGGAAAGTTTTATTTTTCTCATATTTAACATCTAGGGTTTTTTTCAGTTTACAAGCTGTCAAATCCTACAGAAGTAGCCATTGCTCATGTCTCTACATTTAACAATTTAGCAATATTTCAGTTGGTGATTTTCTCCTGTTTACTGGTCACCAAACCATTGACATCAGTCGTCAATGGCTTTCTGTTTACATGCTTTTCTAGTAAATTATTCTAAAGGAATGTTTTTAAATAGCCATCGGTGACTACACAAATAATTTACTACCTTTGGTTGACAGATAGTTTGTACAAACATTTGTCTTCTATTTGCAGTCCACCTTGAGAAATAGATGAACATTTGTTTATTTACTTTTATTCTTACTGTAACTTAAACTGGTACTTTGTTATTTAAAGTGATTCACTCTTAAGGTGATGAATGTAATTTTAGTTTTTTGTAAAACTGTGCAATCTATTAGTAGCACACTTCCCGGCCAGTATGTACTAAACCGCCTCCAGCTCACACAGATTATTGTATCATAGTGACCATATTTGACTGTGATTAATACACCTGAACCCTGTGATTATGCCTGTCAGCCACTATAACTCGCCCATCCTTTGTCAAAGCAACACCACTTGGGAATTTGAATTCACCCTCTCCATCTCCTTCACTGCCAAATGTGGCATAAAATTTCCCATCTGGTTGAAAAATCTGCACTCTGTGGTTTTGGAAATCACCAACGATTATGAATCCCTCGGAATCTATCGCGATTCCTGCGGGACGGTCAAGCTGCCCATCGCTGCTACCTTTTCCACCAAAGCTTGAATGGAACTTGCCACTGGAGTCAAACTTTACGATGCGGTTGTTTTCTGTGTCGGTTACCAAGCAACTGTTGTCTTCAGTGACAGCCACGTGGTTTGGGCTATTTAGCTCCCCGTCTTCATTGCCTTGGGAACCAAACGTCATGATGTGGGTACCATCCATGTTAAAGAGTTGTATTCTGTGGTTGTCTTTATCTGCCACGAGTAAGTTGCCATCTTTGGTTAACGCCAAACCAGCAGGATGATTTAGTTTCCCGTCCTCAGGTCCTGAAAATTCGAGAAAGATCTTCCATCAATTTGGCTTAGTTGATAAAATGGAACTGAATGATGTTTCCAGATTGATGGAAGTATGTTGTGCAACATGCTTAACATTTATGTTGAACATAGAGGTCGTAAAGTCGTGGCAAAAATTTCTTAGTACGTTTTAGACGCATGGCTAACGGTTTACTTGTCGGATGTTCTTCCACTGAACTATCTTTTAGTTGTGTTGGGCTGTTAAAGCCTATACAGAGCAAGTATCTTAGAAATCGTCAGGACCAGCTGATATTTCGTTTTCCATACCTCGTTTGTCAATAAAAGAAAATATGCAAGCGTACTCTATCCATGAAAATCCTATTGTCAATTTCAAGGAATTTTCTCGACAAGGAGAACGGATGAAATTTCCTAAGGTACTATTTGCAGGCATTGCGCTTACCTTTCGTTCCAAACTTGCCGATAAATTTTCCCTCGGGACTAAACAGCTGTACACGATGATTATCCCAGTCTGAAACGGCAATTATTCCATTTGTGTCTACCGCAATACCGCAAGGATTCTGAAACTGGCCATCTTTGCTTCCACGGGATCCAAAATCTTGAAGATGCTTTCCAAGTGCGTCAAACTTTTGAACTCGACAGTTGACGAAGTCTGTAACGTAGATATTTCCTTCCTGGTCGGTAATTACGGAGCAGGGTTGCTTGAATTCCCCGCTCTTTGTTCCTTGAGAGCCAATCTTCATGAATGTTGGTCCAACCTTTGTGTAATCAATCCCTTCCACCACATTGACGCTGAAAGGACTTCCTTCAACCTCGCGCCCTCTGATGGTCACATACAAATCATGTTTGCCGTGCGTGACTGGAGTGTAACGCACTCTCCAGCCGCCATCTCCGTTGTTCGTGACTTTGTTTCCAAGAAAGAACCCCTCAGGTGCTTGGACTTTTACTTGCAGTGGACATGTATGGCTGCCTTCAACCGATGTATTCCCGAAGCGGTCTTTTGTCTCGACGATAAAGGACGACTCAACACCGACTTTCCCCGATTTGGTCCCGAGGCCCCGTGCGCTGCACAGAGCGGTAAACGTGACACTAGATGCCACCCGACCCATCGTGGTCGCCACGTTCTCCACAGCTTCCGAGTCTAGGATGTAATCGATGACGTCATTTTCTTCTGGTTCTTTGTAATCCAGTTTGATGGCGTTGAGTTCATCAAGACGATCTAGCATCAGTTGTCGAAGTTGGATGATTTCAACTTCATTTCCATGCAGAACTACATTTTCCACGAAGTCTCTGGAGCTGGTGTACTTGAAAAGTTCCGTCTCTAGTTGGTTTTGTTGATGGCGGAGCACAGCCTCTTTCTCTTGCTCCAGGGCGTCAACCTATCGAAGAAAACATGCAATGAATTCAATGCAGGTTAAGTAGTGGAGAAGGTACAATGTATCCTTGAATTCGTGAACAAGAGAAAAAAGCATGGAGGCTTGGTCTCAATTTGTACTGAATTAGAATTTCTAATCATTTCCTATTTCCCCACTGAGGAAACCAACGTATTCGTTATTTTTTTCATCAGTTTTTCTCGCTATTTTAAAATCATTCCAAGGAAAGTAATGATTTTCCGTGAAGTAAATTTTATGTCATTGTAAGTTGAAGAGTAAGATAATATAACGTCTTTCAATTCTAAGTTAAGAGCTCGTGGTCTAGTGGTTTCCCTGTATTTCGTGATTGCAAAATACAGTTCTTCATAGGAGGAACTTCTCTTAATTCACGATTAAAGTTTTTGGTCCTGGTGGGTTACCATATTTTCTTAGATATGTGGCTCCCATAGTTACTCACTTACCCTCGCCAGTATTTCTTGTTTGCGGCTGACAATGCGCTTCACGCATTCTTCTGCGGTGCCACATATCTCACTTTTAACAGCTTCTGCACGTGCGCGTAGCTTAGCTGCCATGGTCTTGACCTCGTGCACAGCATCATGGACAGGAGGAATCTTCTCTTCGATGCAGAATTTAAGTCGCTCATCTATAAGAATCTTTCTTTCTTCGAGTGCTTCTTTTAGACCTAAAATAATTTTTTTTTAAAGATTAAGTTGTTAAAAGAGGTATTACTAAGTTATTTTCCCTAGAATTATAAAAGCTATCCTGTTCCCTTTGGTCCATCAAGGGAAGCATGGAGACGCGTCATTTCTCAATTATCTGAAAATTGTTTTAAGACAGCCTAGTTCCTAGATGCTCTCACTCTTCCGTAATTGTCCGTGCGTAAGTTTAGGAAGGAGTGTCCTCATGACTCAACTTAGAGTCCAGGCTTAACTGAGCGGAGAATGTTTATTTATTACATCCTGCCAATCAATTTAATCTGTCATCATTGTCTTAAACGAGCCTGAAATACGCATTTGTATAAGTCAAGAGAAGATTCAGCTCATGAGCTCTCTCAATTAGATTAAAAGTAGGAGATTCTATCCAGTCCTCCAATTTAATTTTTATTCTAAAGAAGAATTCCCTTTTGGTTCAAATAAAAGTTAAAAACTTTAGACCAATTCGAGCTGTTTTGATTTTCTCCAAATGACCACAAGTTACTGTAGCTGGTGCTCTTTTGACTTTTGCATGTCTCTACTGTCATAACCTGTTAAAAATTTGTGAAAAGGTATTCTGTGATGTTTGGTCAAACAATTCTTTTAACGCAGGTCGATATTTACGATCATTTGAGCAAATAGCCCTCTCAATTCACGTTTTATTTAAATAAAGTTTTACCTAGACCGTTTTCTTTTAGTTTGAAAGGCGCTCAAACACGCTCGTGACAGGAATAAATTTATTCTTGTGACTTTCCTTAACCTCATGGAAAACGTAAATTTCGTCTCAATAACATATCTACACGGTAACTTAAATCTGATCTCAAAATTGCGTTTTTGATAACTGAAATGATTTTCAAAAACGGTTTGTAATTTTGAAAGTATACTCAAGTTTGCAATATTGCCAAAGAAAACTTTATAAATTCCAACCTATTTTTAAAATCAAAAACGATACCAGGGAGAGGAATAGAGAAATGGGAAGTTTATTGCTTTCCAAGCTCTATAATTATAGTCATACCTGTATACTTGTGTCCTCGATGATCAAGAATTGTGCATTCCCGGCAGATGAGACAGTCGCATGGGACGCAGTAAAACATGAACATCTCGTCCGTATGTTGTCCGCAGAAGGATGGACGATGTAGAGTCTGTTTGTCGGCTTGCAGTGTGTCAAGCGACAGGATGCGGTGGTCCTTCGTCACTCGTATTCGTCGGTGAGCCAAAACGCAGTTCGAGCACAGAAACTCGGCGCACTCCAGACATCGGGACGTCGCCGCTGCTTCGTCCTCGCAGTTTGTGCAATGAAGAGTATACTCTTTGCTTGATTTGACGGACAAATGATCCAGCGCGTTTGTCAGAAGGAAGTTGTTCGGGAGAATGTGGACTCCCTCGGACGGAATTGGAGTCAGCTTTCGGCAGAGGGGACAAACGATCGAGTTCGTTCCTGCCCCGATTACGTCGTAGCTCTCCAGACATTTCCGGCAGAACGAGTGAAGACATTGCAAGATTTTTGGATCGCTGAAGATGTTCTTACAGATAGGGCACTCTAAGGACTGAGGTGAATATTTTTCATCTTTCACTGTTGCCATTGTTTGTGGGAGTGATTTGGGAAACGCAAGTTTTGCTCCCCGACTGAATGCGATAATTTTTTAATCACACTCTTTCCGCTTCACGCTCCGTTCACTTGACTTCTTGCTGTGTGAGGTAATCTAATAAATGATTGATTTACTTTTTCTTCTTCAATTAAGTTAATTTAATTGATAATTTTCAAGAAAAGTTCACTCAAATCTTATGAAATACTAGGATTGAGTGTCTCTTCAAGTATTACAGTCGAAACTTCCACTACGTTGAGTTTTCTAAATTTTTCTTTATCGATTAATTACGTAGATTTCGTGTTATGCATGGGCAGTCAATCCTACGCGGGGGCCAGAACCCTTTTTATTTTTTCCGCTAACATCTCAGGATATAATATATTTTAGGTTTTATCGCTTGCCCAGCGTAAGTTGCGTTTCGCAGAATTTAAGTCAGTCGTTGAATTTACCGTGTACATTCATTTCTGAGAGAATGTTAGTTTTTCTAAAGCGTTAAAGCGTGTTAATGACTTCTTAGAGGGAGTATGCAGGTACCGACACATTATTTGTGATTTTAACAAGAAATTTTTGTTTTGCGCGTGACGGTGGCCGTTAGGAGATTACAATCCTAAGTGAGCTCTTGGTTTTGGCCAACGAGGTTGCTTAGCAACTTATGTACGTCCAAAAGTGTACATTGCGCCCTTAATTGATTTGTTGTTAGAGCTTGTTATGGGTACTTCAGCCTGGAGCGAAAAGGGATTTTGCTACTTAGGTTATCCCTTAGCGTTTTTCTGGGCGTTTGCTGTTGCACATTTATACTGGAGAGATAAATTGTAGGAGTGAAGTGTCTTGCCTTAGAACAAAAACAAAGTGACCTTAGCCAAGATTAGAACGTGTATTTCTGAGTTCCGAACATTAGTTTTAAAAGCAAGGACTGCTTCTAAATTTACCCAAATTAATTTATTCATAAAGTTACTTTAAGTGCTCCAAAAGCTCTTGCAGCTGATCGTGGTTGATATAGAGCCCTTCTAGATTTATTGCCGTGCGACTTATCTAATAATATCACAACGGCCAAAAAAAAAAAACAAAAGAAAAATTTTCAAAGGAACCAATGACTCTGAATTTGCCTGAAGCGCTGGAAAACGTGAGTGACTGGGTCGTGATTGATTTAGGTTTTGCATCTGATACTTTGAGAGGAGGTGCAAGTTTTCTAGACCAATCACAGAGCGAAGTACAGTAAAACCAAAATCGTGTATACCAGGGTAATCCTGGTATATCTGTTTTGGCGGGAAAGCAATCTATAAAGCACCTCTGGAGGGCAGGATAACTGTGTACGTTTTTACGTATTTCGCTGACTGGTCGCATGCATTTCCTTTATTAAACAATTATCGACTGAAAGGGTCTCGGTCGATAGTATGGTTTGTGGTTGATGGGCATTGAAATAACAAGGATATCAAACATTTATTGTTATGTCCAGAAATAAGAGGAAATCAAGGACTAAAAACCCAATCTAACACTCTGAAATGTTATTATGATATTTCCTCTTTTAAACGAGCACCCAAGTCAAATAATACTTTATCCCTCTAAGCTAGAATTATTACCTTATCATAACATGTGCTTTCAAAGAACATGGAGAATTTTTGACATAACGTCTTAAATCTCGAGTGGATTTTGAGCCCACGTTCAGGATTAAATTAAAACATCTAACCTCCTACTTCAATACTTCAGAAATAAAAGTAGCAAACAAAAATACTTCAAAGTTTAAAAAAGCTATTTTTGGGTAATTTCTTCTTATATGAGACCAAAACAAGTCTGTCGTGTAAACCCATATCATTACATCACACCGAGCATTAATCAGCCAATCAAAGCGCCTAGCACCCGTGAAATCAACCCGCTAAGTTCTTTGACGACTCTACTGGCTTATTGGTAAACGGAACATCGTAAGGACGAGCCTTTTAAGGGGCTCTCACTGTGGTTTCCATGTAATTCTTCCGCAAAACTCTCCGCCAGTATGGGATCTGTGCCGGTGAATAAAATCACCGATCACTACCAACTTACTTGTGGGATTTGCAGCGAGACGTACAAGAATCCCAAGGTTTTGCCATGCCTGCATTCTTTTTGTCAAAACTGTCTTGATTCTAACATAAGGTAAGAATCATCCACTTGTATTTTTCTGAAGGTAAAATTGAGAAATTTATCGTTTGGTTCTCACACCTTGCTTGAAAAAATGCGAGGGAAGTGGAAGCTGAAGACCTCCTTAAAAAGCTTTTGGCCTTTGGCCCTTATAGCTTTGTCAAAGCCATCTTTGCCAGTGCTTCGCTGTATCAAATTAAATTGCGTTATGTCTAAAAGGCCATCTAAGCATTTTCCCTTTACGTACGCGAAATATCCTGCCCTCTTACCTCAAAAAGTTCACAATTTAACAGAAAAACTGGTGATATTTATCTGACTTTAAATTAAGCTGTGGATGAAAGATCAAAGTTGTTTTTAATATTTAAACGCGAAAAGATTTCAAAAGTTAACGGGTACCAGAGAGATCATAGGTTAATTTTCTCGCCACATTAGGGAGACAAGTTCATAGCGGAATTCAACTCTAGAGACTTCAACTATTCATTAATCTTATCACATAAAAGAAACTCCAAAGTAGAGAGATAATTTTTTTTCAGTAATAAATATTTTTAAAAAAATCTCGTTCACTTTTGTTGCAAAACAAAGGGTGAGAAAATTTTTATCAATTTTTAGTTGGTGTTTTAAGTCACGCATACTGCACCTTTTCTTGAAAGTTAACTTACCATGACATGCTTGTTTGCTTTTCTCGTGAAAAATATTTTCTAGTTTCCCAATTTTTTTGCAAGAAAAGAAAGAAAAAGAAATATATCTGCAATTTTTTGAGTGCTTAGAAGGGTTATGGCTTGTTTGGGAAACACCAAAATGCTCGGTTGCATCTGAAGTTGGTCATGAAGAAAATATTTGGCAGTACAGAGCTAGTACAGGAAATTTTGTGCGTCAATTTTGAATGGCGAACATACTCATTTTTGCTACCGGAAGGCGCCCCTAACGAAATTCGTGTTCAACAACATGTATTCTTTGATCAAAGACCATTTGGACATCGACTTCGAATTAATAGTGTTGTCGAGGACGAGCACATCTGCTGACGTAATACACAAATCTCTCTTCAGTAATATTGCTTATCTCCTAGAACAATGGTCTATTTGCTCTCTGAAGCAAAAACATTTGGATGCACCTCCTTTGTTTAAAGTTTCTTGAGTTCCTCTTTCGTTGAAGTAACTTTGCGTTTACTTTATTTACAAAAATAATTATTTCCAATCTGTGGGTTTTCGCCCCTCCCTCTTGATTTTCCAGCGAAGTTTGAACAAAATAATTGTTGGGCCCAATTCACTTGCATGCGCACACGGACCTGTAAAACAGTTATGTAAGGTTTACAATGTGAACCGTGGTTACGATCTTTTCATCAGAATTTATTTAACATTTTTCCTGTTTGTAATTCATCTACAGGTAATCTCAAATTTAAAGTTGTAAATAAAAAGGTCGTTCTTTGGGTTGTTTTCCCAACCTAACATTTTCTTGAAAGTTTTACAGCAAAAAGGGGAGGATGAAAAAAAGGGTGGCGAAGCTTGTTCAGAAGAGAACGGCTGTTATTTCCCTTTAATGGGTCTTTCATAGCAAACTATCTCGATGAGTCATTGAGCCCGCGCTAGTTTGGGACAGTTTGCGCGCAATTATAGGCAGAATAGAATGCGCAATACAATGCGAGGAAATCAACTCTAAAGCGCGGAAAACATACTGTGTATCTTTCCATCATTTATAGACCTCAAGACCGAACCCTCGTTTGCTCAATATGTCGCCTGGTTGTGCCTGTTCCCGCCAAAGGTATCGAGGCATTTCCGCTGAATTTCTTCATCAACAACATGTTGACAGTGTTAGCTGTGCAGAACCCAACAAAATGCACCAACTGCGAGGATAGTTCCCAGGCCACAGCTCGGTGTCTTGACTGCGTGGAAAACCTCTGTACAAATTGCGTGGTTGCTCACAAAAGAATTCGCCAGACAAAAGATCACAGGATTTTGTCTTTTGAAGAAATCCAGGCAAATGAAGTAAAGGAAATTATTCGCTGCCCTTCATTTTGCTCTGTGCATCCACGAGAGGTATATTTGAATAAACAAAGATAATATTTGGTTTATATAAATCGTTCTGTTTACAGCTCTTTTGCTTTGGAAATCAATAACGTGGTTGCTTTTTGCGCTTCTTAACATGACAATCTGAGCATGTTTTGTTTCAAAATTGAAGTTGCTTCATTATTCGCCCAAACATCTCAGGTACTCAAGTACTTCTGTGAATCGTGTGACGAAGCCATATGCCGAGATTGTGCTATCTACGAACACAGAGAGCACATCTATGTGGATCTTAAAGAAGCTGTCAAGAAATACAGGTCATCTATCACGGCTCTTCAAGACAAGACCAAACGCAAGATTCCAGTCCTCCGCGCGGCTGTCGAGGAGGTACATGACGTCACGAGAGATTTGAGAGAGAGGGTTGAAGTAGTACGTGACACCATTCATAACACCATTCAGAATCACATCCGGGAATTAGAAGAACAGGAACGACAACTCATTGACCAGCTTGAAAGCATATCCAGCTCCAAAGAGAAGGTAGGATCTTAAGACAGTTATGCAAAAAGACTGATATCCTCATATGAGCTGTAAGATGACTCTGTGCTGCTGATGTCCATGTGTTCCATTTTCTTTGCATTTTTGCAGGATCAGGCCATTTTAAATCACGCATTACACACCGCAAGTTTTTCTTATCAAAACTTTTTGGATCCTCTGTGAATTATGGCAAATTGAAGAAGGGAAAATGACGCCTCATTTTGTTTGTTTTCAGGTTTTAACTTCTCAGCAGGAAATTCTGGAACTAGACTTGGAAAACCTGCTTAGTAGCTGCGAGTTCACAGAGAATGTGCTCAGGTATGGAAACGAGGCTGAGATAATGTTGGTAAAGCCGCAGATGGTCAGCAGACTCCAGAGCCTCAACGATCACGAGTCGCAGTGTGAACCAGAAGAAAACGAGGTATTGTATTTAACCAATTGTCAACTTTTTTGTTCTTATGCCATAAAACTACAGACCTCGGAAAACAGCGGACCTGCGAACGAGAACAGGAGACTGTGAAACGGTAGCCCCATAAAAGCATTTTTTTGAGATAATCTTCTCTAATTTGATTTAGACTCGAGGCTTAAAGTTGGCATTCCTCAAGATTGTCAAAACTTGGTGTATATGATTACAGACCAAATTGAACTCCACTCGGTCCTATGACCATTATTAACACGGGATTAACAAATAATCGACAAATCAAAGCGGTGTGTCCTTTCCCTCGTTCCACCCCTGAAGTCAATGGTTCCTCGCCCTCTTAAATCCCCTCCATGAGAAGGGACGCCCACCCATGAAGGATTCTGCTCTCTCCACAATGTAAAAGTTCATTGACCACAAAAATCATCTTTCTTTAGGTAGTTGAGTTCTCGTCCAGTGACCAGCAGCTCTCCAAAGTCATTGCTCAGCTCGGTCAAGTCTCCACCAGTTTCGTGTTCCCTATGCTGTCATGCGCAGAGGGCCCCGGGCTCAGCCGAGCTAAGGTTGGGCACAAGTCAACGTTTACAATCATTGCAAAGGACAGAAATGGCGAACCATGTACCTCTGGTCAGTAGATATTATAGTTAAAAATATAATTTCTCCCCAGTGGGGTTTTGTGCCCTAAGGGTTAGGAAAGAGAGAATCTTCAGGTTTTTTCAATTTTCAAAGTGTAACCTACATAAGTCAGTGTGTCAGCTGACATCATACCTCACTCTGTAGGAGGAGACCAGGTGTCAGTCAAACTTCACTGTCCAAACGGTCCGCCGATCACAGCCGACGTAGACGACAATGATCATGGCACTTATACGGCTTCCTTCACGCCAGTCTCAAAGGGAGATCATCAAATCACGGTTCACATCCGGGGTAAACCTATTCAAGGAAGTTCCTTTGACTTACAGGTCTGGTCTGATTTTTTAAGTATCTGTAATTATAGCTGTTTTGGAAGCTCCTTTAATATCTTAGAGTTAACATCAACCAGGCTTGGTTAGTTCATGTTATGGAGCACCGGACTGCCGTGTGGTAGGTCGAGAGTGCGAACCCAAGACCTGACCAACACTTGTGGTCTTATGATAATTGAATAAAAAGTGCTGCCTTTGCTCTGACATCTGCAAACGGTTAGACACTATAGTCTTCTTGGATAAGGACGATAAACCGGAGGGTCCGACTCCTGCATCTTCTCTGTACTGGTTAGCCAGTACCCACGCAATTCTCGCAAAGAGTAGGGTGCGTAACTTACGGTATTGTGGTCTGGCCTTGTTCCAGTTTATACAGACCCCCATTTAAACAAGCTTTAAAGCTGATCTGGGCCAGCCTGTCTTAAAAATCGCATACAATAAAATAAATTAGAACGTGGAGAAAATTTTGGCACTTGCCGGAATTGACGTAATTTATAGACGTGAGTTCGTAGATCATCCAGTAGACTTGAAAAAAGTAACATACTGGATCGAAAGATTAATGTATTAAAGCTAGATTACATATGGAAGAGACTGTGAAAAATTATACTAAGTAATATATTGTTTTGTGCTCGCAAATTATGCAGTAGTTTTGAAGAGGATAACCAAGAAGATCGAAAGAAAGATAATACATGTAAACTGAGGTTTGTATTATATTTCAGGTCACGTCAGGAATAGACTTTGAAAATATTGGTCCAATGTTGTTGAAGTTTGCACCCAACAGTAATAAGACTAATGACGAGTACTACGAGCCGTGGGGAGTGACTGCTGACCCTGAGGGGTTGTTTGTGGTGTCAGATCATCACAATCACCGTCTTCAGGTAGGGTTGCGTCCTCTGCGATGTCTCTGCCCCTGGAAAACTATTTACCTCACGGAACAGATAGTCTTTCTAGACTAATAACTCAGCATATTTTGAGCCAATATTGGGTTATTGTTTCGATAAACTAATGATTTACATGATAGAAAATAAATTCTAAATGTTTGGCAAATGAATCTAAGCTTTGTGTTGGACGATTTTCGTGTGCAAACGTGAATTACTTGAGAGGGAACGCATGGATATAAGTATTTGCATTCGATAGAATCTACATAGAATTCTGGATCACAACATGCTTTGAAACTGTAATGAAAAGTTATCATGCCAAAATCAATGTTACTTCAAGCACTTTGAATATCGATTTTCAATTCAGATTTTTGATACAAATGGTCGCCTACTGTACCAGTTCGGCACACGGGGTAAAGCAGATGGGGAGATCTGGTACCCAGCAGGAGTATGCTTGGATAAAAGTGGTAACATCTTTGTAGCAGATCATGGAAATCACAGAATACAGGTAAGATTCGTTTTTTACCATTCTACTTTAAGTAGTGTCATATTTTTATCATTTTTTTAACCTCTTTCAGGTTTTCACACGCGAAGGACAGTTCCTTCGAAAATTTGCTTCAAAAGGCAACGGTCTTGGACAGCTGAAAGGTCCTTGTGGCCTCGCCGTGGACTCAGAGGGTCGGGTCATCGTAGCCGAACGCGATAACCACCGAGTGCACATCTTCGACTCCGATGGCCAAGCGATTATGCACTTCGGCGTGTATGGAGATGGCGATGGAAAATTCAACTGCCCACGACATGTTGCGGTTGACCAGGATGACAGCATTTTAGTGTCGGACGCTGGGAACTCCCGAGTGCAAATATTTGACAAGAAAGGACAGTTTTTAGCAAAGATCGGGGAAAAGGGCACCAACAAAGGTCAGTTCAGTTGCCCCGCGGGAGTGGCGGTTGATTCAGAGGGACACATCGTGGTGGCGGACTTGAAGAACTTCAACGTGCAGATATTTGATTCGGCTGGTGTTTTTGTAAAGAAAATAGGTGTTGCAGAGGAATCCAAGAATGCCAGTGTTTTTAGCAAACCGACTGGAGTCACTATCTCAGGAAATGGCAATGTTGTTGTAGCTGACAGAGGGCATCATTGTTTACAAGTGTTTTAATCTGAGAACAGATACATAATAATATACACTGGTTGGTCGAACCTGCGATTGGAGGGGACGCAGTAAAAAGTTTTGATTATCACAAGCAAAGGGAAGCTTTCTAGGAGCAGATCCGGGCAAGGGTACAGGGTGTAGACTTCTCCTCCCCCCCATCAATATTTCCTAAATTATTTAGGGTCTTGTGTTAAAAAGAAGTGTTTTCCAAA